GCGACGATTCCGCCGGGTCCACACCACCACCAGCTTATCCGGCTGCCTGAGGGAGGGAGCGAAGGAGGGGGCTCAGTCAGGCCCACCCAGCCTCCTCATCTCGTCTTCCTTCTCTTCTCCACCTCCTTCAGGGTCCTCCTTCAGCACTTGTCCCTTTCCCCCAGGAGAGGGCATGGGCAGCCCCTTATCTGGGGCCACAGGGTGAGGGTGGGGCTGCTGAGGAAGGGTGGAGTCCAGGCCAAGGGCAAAGGCCCAGACAACATGGACCAGCAACAAGAATGTGGAAAGAGGAGAGGCATGTGCATGCCTGTAATCCCAGCCACTCAGGAGGCCGAGGCAGGAGGATCACAAGTTTGAGGCCAGCCTCAGCAACTGAGCAAGGCCCTCAGAAACTTAGCAAAATGCTGTCTCAAAATAAAAAGGACTGGGGATGTAGCTTAGTAGTAAAAGGTACCCCTGAGTTCCATCTCCAGTGCTAACAAGAAGAAAGGGAAAGCAGAGACAGACATAAAAGACAGATGGACACAAACACGCACGCGCACACATGCACACACACACACACACACACTCAGAGACACAAGCAGAGACAAAGTCTCAGAGTAAAAATAGTCCGTTCACTCACAAATTATTTGTGAAGTACCCACTCACTGCCCATTATGAACCCAGCCCAGTTTGGGGAACAGAGAGGAAAAAAGGAAAGGCAAGACCTCTCTGGGCTAAGGACAAGGGAAGTGGGAGGCAAGAAGGAAAAGAAACGGCAAACTAACTTCAGGGGGTTGTGGGAGAGCCAGGAGGGGGATGTCTGAGCAGAGGTGAGTTGGGGAGGGGTGGGTCATTTGGGGTTCTCTAGCAAGAGGGCTCCAGGCAGAGGGGAAGGCAAGTGCAAGGGAGGGAGAGGGCCGGGGAGAGGGTGGGAGCGAGCCACAGACACGGGGGCCTGCCCCCGAGCCCTAGATCCTAGCTTTGCAGAAAGATGATGTCAGTGTAGCCTAGTCAGGGAAGACTTCCGGAAGGTCTGGGCCAACTCAGGAGATACAGGGATGTGTGGAGGCCAAGACAAAAGGAGGCATGAAGCCCAGGGCCTAGTTCCACACATGGAGCTGACGTGGCTGGGCCTGAGGGAGAGGGCCTGATGGAGTTAGTGTCCAACTGCTGCCAAGGATGAGGATGGTTGAGGGAAAATCAGGTAAAGGAACCCAACAGCACTCCTTGCCTGTCCCTAGCCCCATGCCACGATGCTCGGGTTTGGCCCACTCACTGCCCCTCCTAGGCCAAGCCCGGATAAATAGCTCTCCTATTAACCCCTGAGGATGCTGTGGCCCAAAGGGGTCAACCAAGTAAGATCCCACAGCTGAGCCCCGAGCCCTCTGGCCCAGAGCTAAGCTCTCTTCCCTAACCCCAAACTGCAGGCAATAGCCAAGCAAAGATAGCCACAGGCCTTCCCAGAAAGGGGAAGCAAAACACGGGGTGCCTAGGGAGGGCGGGGGCCTGGTTGGCAGCCTGACTCAGGCCAGGCACACCCTCCCAGGGAGCTCCAACCTGGGCAGGGGCAGCTTCCTGTCCTGGTCTCCAGACTAAGAAACCCAGAAGGCCCTACCCACTGCCTGTGACTCAGCCGCATTGACACTGCCTGCACCCCTGGCCTGCTGTCCAGGACAATGCTCAGCGTCCCCCTGGCCTCACCCAGGATGCTAAGGCAAAAGCCAGAGGTCAGAGTTCAAGTGCTAGCTCTGTGGTGTGTTACCCGAGTCAGGCCCTATCCTCTCTGGGCTTCTGCCAAGTGAAGGGCTCAGTGTGAGCAAGACCTGAGACATATATCAGTTGCCTCAGGCACCCCAGCCTTTGCTCACTCCCCTCCCCTTAGACCCCATGGTTTCTTCCTGCCCCAGCCCTTACCCTTGGGAACCTAAATTTAGCCCCACTGGGCTGGGCCCTGAGGCCCCCACAGCTGTGCCCTAATCCAGCCAAGGGAAGCTGACACCAGGGAGCTCGTATATTTAGGGTGTGACGCAGGGGCCGGCAGCTGCCAGTGGGGACAATTGAACCAGATGCCCCTGGCCCTTTTGGCAGTCTAGGACAGGGCCTGCACCCTCACTCTACTACCTGGCCCTCTGCAGGTCCTCTACTGCAGACCCCCCAAACCTCCTAGGTCCTGAGGCCCCTTTAAGCTGCTCCCCGCCTCCCTCCTCATCCCTCCAAGTGCTCAGTTTCCCCTTTTAAGGACATTGTGAAGACATTTCCAGCCTCCCAGAGCCCACTCTGGCTAAAGGGGAGGGGTGTCCTCTGGGCAGGGCTTGAGAGGGGGACAACATCTTTGTTCCAAGCTGGACTAAGGTCCATGAGGTTTCTGCCCCAGCTCTGGCCACCTGTAGACCTTAAAACTTCCAACTTTCCAGTGCCGGCCTTACCATCTCTCTGGCCCCAACCCCCCCAACCTCCCTCCCGAAGCCCTGACCACAGCTGATGAAATTGTGGGCACAGACAGATGCTCAGGCTTCCAAGCCCTGACCCCAGCCCCAAGAAGGTTCCCACACCCCCAACTCTAGGGGTTCCACAAGTTGCAAGGCACTTCTGAGACCCTCAGTCTGCCACCCCAGGCTCAAGCTGGGATGGAACCCTTTGGCTATTGGGCTGGCGGGCAGAGTTCTCTCAGGCTCAAACCGCCTGATGGCGTCCCAGCCAATCTTGGAATGGTCCCTCAGGCCTCCCTCCCACTCACCATTTTTTGGTGCACTCCAACACCAGCTCGTGGTAACAGGCCACAAACTGGAACTTGGCGGCCCTCTTGCCCACGCGCTGCAGACGTTTCCACACAGAGGTCATGGCCCCCTCCGCTCCTGCTGCCCACTTCTCAGGCCCAGGTTTCCCGCTGGCCTGCGATCACTGGCCGTGCCCGGGTACCCATGGTGTCCGGGGCTCCTATCCGCGTTGCCCGCCCCGTCCGTGCGGAAGTATATGAGGCTCGGACGCCGGGCTGCTGTCCCCGCCGCCGCCCGGTGGTCTGGCTGAGTCGGCGGGGTGGTCTGAGGCGCGTCGGGCTGGCCGGAGAGCGGAGCGGCTAGCGCGCCGTTTCCTGGAGCCGCACCCCCGTCGGAGGGCGGGCGGGGCCCGGGCGCGGGGCGGGAGCCGGGGCAGGAGAGCGGGGGGCGGAGCGACCCGGCTTCCGGGGCCTCGAGCCGCGACCCGCGCGCGGGGGGCGGCGGTAGGGGGTGGGAGGTGGTGACATGCTACTGTAGTGCCCGTTTGGTGCGCGCAGAGGCGGCGTGGACGCGCGGTCCGGATGGAAGCGCGTGGTCCCGGACAGCGGGCAACTGGCAACTTCGTGCCGCCCTGGAGGAGTGCTGTCCCAGCCGCCTCCCTTCCTGCTTGCTGCCCTTTCTTACTCGTGACCCCATTTCACAGGCTAGGAAAAGAGAGACTCAAAAAGGGGAAGAGACTTGCTCAGGGTCTTCCTGATAGTCTGGGCCAGATTCAAATGTTCTCAACTCTGGCATGGCCGCCATCCATGCCTTAACCAGAGCAGGAAGGAGCAAGCGGAATTAGGGACTAACCTTGGTGCCCTATCAGTGGGCAGCACCCATCCCCCAGTCTCTCAGAACCTGACTCCTCAGCTGTTAGAGGGAAGACAGCCTCGACCTCCCACAAGCAGCTGGAGGTTCAGATCCTGACTTCAACTCAAGTGTGTGGACTTGGGGAAAGTACTATCACTCAGGCTCAGTTTTGACAACTGTTAAATGAGGATAACTATAGTTTTGTCTCTTATAGAGTCATTGAGAGGATGAAACCTCAGAAAGCATTTATCACAGAGCCTGGCTAATTTTGACAGGCATCAGTTCATGAAATCCGTTATCATGGACAGGAAAGAAAAGTGTGCCTGTATGTATGGTATGTTTGTTTACTTTCTCTCCCCTGGAAAATGCACCCCTCACCCTGCTTTAGCTGCAGACTTAACACCTAAGTTAGAGTTTTTATTGCCCGCCCACCCACCAGCCCAGCAGGGGCATGAGCATCTGCAGAAGTCAAACCCTGACTTAAGAGAACTGGCCTGGGGCAATACACCTGCGTTTTGCCCTGTCAGATTTGTGAACTGACACGGAACCCTGGTGCTTGGTACTTGGTTTGATCAGGACATCTGATCTGCCAGGAGTTCCAGCTGAGTTGCAACTCCAGGAGGCAGGTGACTGTGCTGCAGAGTATGGGGTGAGCTGCCTGTAAGCCTGAAGTGTGCAACCTCATGAATGTGCAGGCTTCTTCCGGTGGGCTTGACACCCGATTATGGCTTTCAGTCCCAGTAGCGTGGTTCTCGGTTTCCGGAGTAAGGGGAAGAGCTTTACATGAAAGTCCTTAGTGCAAAGTGTGTGGGGAGCAGGCGAGCCGAGCGATGTGTATGAGACAAAGTGTGCAATGAGGGTGTCTGGGACCCCAATCTCGCTTCACTGACACTGAGTCTCTGACACCCAGGCTTGGGGCCCTGCTCTCATCTTCTGGGCTTTTTCTGGCCCCTAGTGAGGCCGAAACTACACTCCCTTCAGCCTCCACAGCTGTTTCCACAGCCACTAGTTCCAGTGCCTTCCTGAGCTTTCCCCTCTCCTGCCCAGGGGCCCCCGGACCGCCGCTCCGGCCCACCCATTTCCTGTGTTGCACCAACTCCGCCCCCACTCGAGGTGGAAAGTTTCTCTCCTCAAGATGGGCGGCTCCTTCTCCTTCCTTCCCGGCGGGCCAGGAAAACCCAAAGCGATTGGGAAAGGGGGGCTGGGCGAGAAAGCCGCCAGTGGGAGAGGGGAAGTGACTCCACCGCAGTCCTACAGCTGCGGAGCCAGGCTCGGGCAGCCTGGAACGCTCCCAACTCCGCTGGGGGGAGAATGATTCGCAGCCGCCGCGGGTAAGCCTCTTTCACTCGGGGGTCTCGGACGCCACCTGCCGGTGAAATGTGGAACTCACTTGTCAGAAGCCGCTATATTCCTGCCCAGCGCCGGCAATCAGAACAGGAACTCCGAGGGTATTTATTTATTTATTTACCAGCCCAGGAGGCTGGCCCCTAAACTTAAAATATCCAGCATGGGGCCTTAGCCTGTTATGGACTTGGGTGTGTGCAGGCATGGGTCCTGAGGCCCTTATCCAGGGCAGTGGATCCCAGGGACCAGAGGTGGAATGCCCCTGAGCCAGCAGCTGCCAGTAGCAGCAAAAGATGAAAAAAAGATAGGAGCCAGGCACTCATCCCAATCCCAGTGATGCCAAGCAGAGTGCAAGATACTTCGGGCCCCATCGCCAAGCTGGGGGTGCACATATGTAGAGAAGAGGCCCAATATCATGGCAACCCAGGTGCCCACCCAGTGCCAACCAACCAGGAGGGGGTTGGCAGTTTTGCCTGAGAGGCATATGCCTGGCTCTCCTGAGGTGAGGTGATACAGGTGGAAGAGCAGGCACTGTCTTCTGAGGACATGCTCAGGGGCGAGTTTTGACCCTTTTGCATGGGTGCATTCCCACCCACCCCAGCTGTTCAAAGGCTGATGTGAAAGGCGTCCTGCAGCCACTGATCTCGGGCATTATGTGTCTGGGGCACAGTGAGGGGTGGTGGGTCAGGGGGCAGGCTGGCATCAGGAGGCTCATCGTCATCAGAGAGGCCGGCATCCGGTGGATAGGAGCTGTCCGAGTGCAGGGAAGATGACAGGTCCTGGCATAAACTCAGGTCTTGGCACAGGTGTTTGTAGTCCTGGATTGATTCATACAGGCCCCACAACTGGCACAGCAGCGACATGTCCAGCTGCCGTAACCCCACCTGCAGACAACTGACAGTGGGCTCTCCTGGAATCCAGAGCCCCCGGCCCAGGTCACAACCCTAGCCAATCTTTCCGAAGTGAAAGTTCTAGGGACAACAGAAGGCACGTGCAAGCTGTGAAACTTTAAGCAAGTCACTGACCCTCATTTGTAAAGTGGGGTTCTAATAGAGCAAGGCTAGTGGTCCAGCCCTCTTGCTCCTGCCTTTGAGAATGAAATGAGGTAACGTGAGTAAAACATTAAAAATACATATATATATAGTAACTATTGTCACGTCTGGCTGTTGCTAATTACTGTTACAAACCCCCATAACTCAAATGCCTCTGCGGGACCTCTGAGACCCAGTCCGGTGCCCCTGCGCTCCACCTCGCCCGGGACCCTCCCCCCGCGGCGCCCACCCACTCACCATCTCCTTGCGCAGCGCGGCTAGTGCCGAGTCGAGGTTGACTGGGCGACGCGGGCCGGAGGCTGGCCCCGAACTGGCGGCGCCGGTGGCGTGGCGTGGCCCGTCTGGGGCCCGGGCGGCGCGGCTCAGCTCGTCGTGGATGCGGCTGCGCTGGCTGTAGACGCGCTCCAGCTCCCGCCACGAGCCCCCGCTCGCGTTGAGGAGGCCGCTGAGGCCGCGCGGTAGCGGCGGGAGCCCGGCTAGGGCGCAGCCCGCGCCGCCTGGAGCCTCAGCAGAGGGCAGCCCGTTCATGGCCGTGCCGGCGCAGAGGGCGATACCACCTTCCTCCCCGCAAAGCTTTGCCCTGCCCGGGTCGCCGCCCGCAGGCTCGGCACCTCCGGGCCCGGCCGGCCCAGCGCAGCCGCCACCCGCAGGCCGCGCTTTGTTCCTTCCCTGGCTCCTCTGACTCCGCCCCTGACCCACCCCTCCGCATGGGCGGGGCCTCTCTTAAACAGGCAACAGACTGGGGGAACAGCGTCGCGCAAAGCCTGGTAAAAGCAACAGGGGCGCCCACAGAAGGGAAACAAGAAAAAAAAGAGTCCGAAAGGGGCAGTCGGGTGTCGTTGGAGGTTCTTTTTTACTGCCCCTCTCCACAAGGTGTCCTTCACAATTACCCTCCCTAGGAAAAGGTACTAAAAATGGGGATCAGAATATTGGGGCAAAACCATGCGTGGCTCTTAGCGTGCAAAGTTGGGGTTCCTACAATTTCTGTCAGTGTCTGAGTACTGGAGTGGGCATGAGGTGAGGCAGCATGATAGAACCAGGATGCTTAAGAGAGAGAGAAGTTACCCTGGGAACAGAATCCCAAATCTCACAGTCATCAATGAATGGCTTAGCTGGCTGGGGGAGGAGGGTGCAGCTACAGACAAGGCTGGTGGTCCAGCCCCCTTGCTCCTGACTTTGAGAAGGCTATGTCCTCCTCAGAAAGGGGATATCACACTGCCCTGTACCTACCACTCATCCTGACTGCAGATATAAACTCAACTTTCAGGGCTTCAGGGAGAGTATAGGGTAGGAAGGTGAGAGGCCAAAAGTAGGAAAAAGTGGAGTGGAGCTGGGGCTGGCATGCACATTTAGAACCAAGAAAAGAACAAACCACACAGGAACAGCGACTTTTCTAGAGGGTTTTTCGGGGGTGGGGTGGGCTGGGCTGGGTCTTAGTGCTGCAGCTGCTTCAGGCTGCGCAGGGCCTCAGCACATGCCCGGATAAGGCCACACAGCTGAATGCTAGTCTCCAGGGAAGTGCTAGAGCCCAGCTCAGTTGAGGCCCAGGTGAGCTTCTGCAGGAGGGCTGCCTGTGTGCAAGTCACCACATCTGCACTTGGAGCCGTAGCAGGAGTAGGTGGCCCCTGGGCTGCCTTGAGCCCTGCTGCAGCTCCCTCACAATGCTCCGGTCGTGGTACTGGGGGCTGAGGTGTGGGCCTAGGGCCAGAGGGCAGCTCTGTGGCAGAGGATAGCTGGTGTTCCCGAGCTTGGGAGAGGGCAGCCTGGGCATTCAGAGCTAAAAAGGGAAGAAAGTGGGTGGAATGGTCAGAATGACTGGCACACCCAGGAACCCTCTATTTGTGCTCTTTACTGTTTTGTTTTGTTTTTTAAACTATGCTGCAGATTTTTAAAACTATGCTCAGAGCCTTGGACATGTTAGGCAAGCACTTCATTGAGCTACACTCTCAGTCACAACCCACTTTCTATTTTTCTATCACAGTTATTTATGCCCTAACTTGATGGGCCCATCAAGACTGTGGCTGATTGCGCTCAGACTCTCCCGCAGTGTGGGAACAGGAGGTGCTTAGTGTTCTCAATGAATGGTCCTCTCCAGAGCCTAAAGGAGAAAGCATCTTGGAGTCTGCCCACCCACAGACTCCACTGTCACCTCCCAGGCCTACTGTTCTGGGCATCTACCACCACAATGATTCCCCACCGAGCACATCGGACCCCTCACCCGGATTATCTTTATCCACGTCTGAGTCGAGCTCCTGACAAGCTACGCAGTAGATTTTCCGCTGTTTGTCTTGGAGAAGGATCGTCTGGACCAGAAAGCACACGGGGTAGGGTAAGAAGCGGGGCGATGGGATTCAAAGGGGAGGGCTGAGGAGGGGCCATGCGGCCTGCCCGCGGGCCCATCGCCGGCCACTCGCCCGAGCCTCTCCTCACCCCACAGTCCGCGCACGTCTCGCCCAGCATGCGGTAACCGCGCAGCAGGTAGTCGCCCATGAGCCGGGAGATGCGATCCTGTCGCTCCCGTCGCGCCTGCAGCACCTTCGTCTCCGCCTCAGTCGGGGGCTCCCAGGAGAAATCGTCGACTTCTGGGGAAGACAGGCACAAGGGACCGGGATCTTGCCGGAGCGAGCAGGCTCCCGCGCCCCGCAGCCACAGGCCCCCGTAGCCCAAGTCCTCACCAGCGCCGTTCAGGGCCATGTTGCCGTTGTCGCCGCTGGGCTCACCGGAAATGTCGCACAAGCAGAGCGCCTTCACCGCGCCCCCGCCCCTTCCACAAGGGCCTGAGGATGAGGGCGGAAGTGATGCATCCCAGGAGTCCTCAGATCTCGCTCTGCCCACAGTGGGGCGTGTCTGCAGCGGTCTCCACTTTACCCGGGAGGCGCGTCAGTCACCCGGAACCCGGCAAACAGAAACTGGAGGGGCGTGTTCGGGGAAATCCTGGTCGCGTCGTAGGGCTCGGGAGTGAGTTCGCTAGGTCGCTTTTCCTGCCCTCCGCGAATTGAGGGGACCACTTGATTTGAAAAGCCCTCGCTGGCCTCTGCCTGACTTGGGGTTGTCCTTTCCTCACAGGCTGAGCCGGCGGGGCAGTGTCGTAATCCCAACCACCGCCATCGTGGTTGCGCGCGTGTGGAGCCTCACTTGGACCAGCGGGAATCATTGTCGCTTTCGGCTTATTTCAAGACCCTCCCCTTCTGCACGTCCAGGGTTCTAGTCTGTCACATGCTCTACCCCCACCTAGTGCCAAGACCTGGGACTCCTGGGACTAATGCAAAGCCTGTCCCTAAGCAGACCTTTTTTTTTTTTAATTTTATGACCTTAGAAAGTTTGCTGACTGAAAAACCGCTTTGTGCTGGGCATGCGCAGATCAGGTTCCAGCCGCGCCGCTCTGGAGTGGGGATGGGGGACTTATTACATATACTTGTGACCGTTAGGCTTTTCTTAAGTGGATTGCAAGTGAAAGTTGCTGGTACTCCCTGAACATTGGCCTTTATGATTTTCCCCTTTCTTTCGTGTTCTTTTTCTATGTGTATCTACCTCCTTATTAGATTAGAAGCAGATGGGGTAGGCAGGGGTCCCTAGATGTGCAGCTTGCTAGGTCTCAAGGCTGTAAACCAGGACAGTAAAAAAGGAGTTAAGACTAGACCCCCCATAATCGCATCCGAAACCTCCTTCCCTGGACAAAACATGGTTTTTTTTTTGTTGTTGTTGTTGTTTTGTTTGTTTGTTTTTGTACTAGGGGTTGAACTCAGAGGCACTCGACCACAGAGCCACATCCCCAACCCTATTCTGTATTTTATTTAGAGACAGAGTCTCTCTGAGTTGCTTAGTGCCTCACTTTTTGCTGAGGCTGGCTTTGAACCCATGATCCTCCCATCTCAGCCTCTGGAGCCACTGGGATTACAGGCGTGCCCCACCATGCCCGGCAAAATATGCTTTCTTAATCTTACTTGTAATGCCCTTCACCAATCCCCATCTTCCTCCTACAGGACCCCCTGGCACTGCCATTTTTTTCACCCTTGCTGCCTCCTAGGAGAGCCCTGTGTACCTCTTTACTCTCTCCATCATCAACAGGTTCTTGGGCAGCAATGTACTTGACTCAGGGCCTGCATCCCAATTCATTTCTGCCAGACTGACTATAGAAACTGTCCCTGAACCATCTCTTGGACTCCAGCCTATATGCACAGACTTTCCAGGCCATTACAGTCTCCAGTTCCAGCCCATCCTGAATTCCCCAGTGTACCCTCTGTGTCATCATCAAGACCCACTCAGCTCCTGTTCTGCCAGGTATCAACTGGTCATTTATCCTCCCATTTTTCCCCTTTCATTTTCTCCTCATATTGTTGTTCTGTTGTCACCATTTCACAGAGTAGGAAACTTGAATAAGTCTTTTAAAACATATGGCATGTTATATTTGCTCAGAACTAGCTGGCATCTCCCTATTACACTTAAACAATAGTCCAAAGTCCTTATTATGGTCTCCAAGATCCTACAAATAAAATCCTTGTTCCCTCTCATCTCTTCCTACTGTTCCTACTTTCTTCCTGTCCCACTACTCCAGGGAATTCTATCCCCTTCCTCTCTCAGGACTTCTTCCTGCCTCAAGATCCACTGTAGGGTGGACAAGACATAGGCCTGGAATCAGGCAGGCCTGAGTTTGATCCTAGATCTTCTGCTTACTGGCTCTGTCACCTGGAGTAATTGACTTCACCTCTCCAGACTTCAATTCCTCCTCTGAAACAGAGCTACTTATGTTTACTTGGCAGGATTGTGTGAGGATGTAGCGAGGAGATGTGAGTAAAGAGTACTAGGCAACTGTTCTCTACCAATCTCTCATTTATGCAGGTTTTGCAAGAGCAGAGACACAAAAGAGTATGTACCTTTATTCTGGACTATCTTAAAGTATGTTTGTATAGTGTACAGCCTTGGACTATAGAAATAATGGCTCCTTCTAGAGCAAAGGGCTGCTATACCCACTGTCCCTTATAAAAGATCTGGGTTCTCTGTAATTCAACTCACCATGCGTAGGCATCTATGCAGGCCCCCTTCAATAGACTTGGAAGGGGGAAGTAATAGATATGCTTACATTCATGTTGCTTGCTGTGCTGTAATAAAGTCCTTTGTCTTCATCCCAGAAGTCTTGTGTCTTTTGCCAGCATCCATGAACTTGTGTCAGTCTTAACTAGTTTGTTTGAAAGTAGGGTAGGGTCAGGTGCAGTGGTACATGCCTGTAACCCCAGCAGCTTGGGAGGCTGAGGCAGGAGGATCATGAGTTCAAAGCCAGCCGCAGCAAAAGTGAGGCACTAAAGAACTCAGTGAAATTCTGTCTCTAAATAAAATACAAGAAATAGGGCTGGGGATGTGGCTAAGTGGTTGAGTGCCCCTGAGTTCAATCCCCAATACCCCTCCTGCATATCCTGCATAAATATGTCCTGGGGAGGAATAGATAGCTTCTCACAGTCAGATTCAGGTCTGCCTCATTGAAACAAGCAGTACTGACACTGATCCCGGAAGTACAGAAGTTCCCATCCCCTTTCAGCATAGGGTAAAGGATGGGGTGTAGCTCTGTGGTAGAGCATGTATTTAGCATGCCTAAGATACTCAGCATGCCTAAGAACCTGGGTTCAATCCCCGCATCCTCCCACCAAAACCAAAACAAACCGCTCCAAATGGGGAAAAATCTTAGATTTTAGTTCTTTTCTTAAGTTAAAGATTCTTTTATTAATAAATTCTAACTGTGGAACGCTTCATGAATTTGCATGTCATCCTAGCATAGGGGCCATGCTAATCTTCTCTGTACCTTCCAATTTTAGTATATGTGCTGCCAAAGCAAGCAATATACTTCTTGACATTGATGCCAATGAGGGTAGAATGGGGACAGAGATGTTGCTTTTTGTAAGAAAGATGAGGACTTCATGGGCTGATTAACAGGTTTTGAAGGAAGGACAGGGAATTGGTAGCATGCTTGTTGACCAAATTGTATGACCAACTGGGCAATAAAGGTTTTCAATTTTGTTTCATAAGGAATTAGGTAGTTGCTTACAGGCCAGTTACCATGAAGTAGGTTCAAAGTCAGCTACCAGTCATTTCCCGGATTATTACTCCTCTCCTCTGGGTGGGGTTGGGGAATGGAGGAATAGATAGTTTCTCACAGCTACAGGTCTGCCTCATTGAAACAAGAAGTACTGACACTCATCCCGGAATTATAGAAGTTTCCATCCCCTTTCAGACAGCATTTGCCAAGATGTGTACACATATTAAATGCAGATGGAGTAAAATTTATCACCACTATGGACAGAAATTGGATGACTCATTAGAATTTTGGCTGGTTCACTTCAGGGCTGATAGGCAGGAGACATGGTGCTTGGTTAAAAAAGAATGGCAACAGCCGGGCCATTGTACAACTCAGCCCTACTATCAAGACAACCTTCTGTCTATTCCAAGATCACAGTAGAGGGTCTCAGAGTTATTTTTTCCAGTAGGTCCTGGATGCTGCAGGGACCCATTACGGGAACCTTTACTCCCTTAAGCAAAGTTTCCTGAGATGGGCGAAATCCAATAGGAAATCATAGATGGGCTACTGATTACTCTTTGGGCTCTTTCTGTTCTGGTTTGCAATGCTGATAAAGATGACCACCAGAGAAGGAGAGAGTGACCCAAAAAATTTAGATAAATTCTTGTGATCAGCTCCACCACTCCAGAAAACTCCCATAGTAAAACCAGATGAAAACCTAAGAGATCTTATTATGACGACAGAAATACCCGCCATCACTGCATGTTGTTGGGCAGTGTGCTTATTAATGACTATTTCACCTCTGGGAGACTTTAGGACTCAACAACCACAGCCATATCACTTTCTATCAACAGCTGTGAGGTCTGCACCATTGGCTGATCTGGGTTTGAGTGGCTCGGTCGCTAGTAAAGGTTTGTCAATTCTTTTCAAATAATTAACTTCTGGATTAGTTGATTCTCCCAGTCACTTTGCTGTATTTCACTTACTTGTACTCAAATCTTGATTATCCTTATTGTCCTCCCTTCTGCTTGTACTGTTTTGTTCTTCGAGTTTCTTAAGGCAAAATATTAGGTTATTGATTTGAGATCTTTTTTTTTCCTTTTCAACATAAACATTAACAACTATAAATTTTCCCCTAAGCGCTTCCTTTAAAAAACAAAGGTCACAGCTATGCAAGTCAGACAGACATCAAACAACATTCTAACAAACATCTATAGGACACTCCATAAACAGCAGAATTCATATTCTTTTGAAATGCACATGGAATATTCTCCAGGATTGACAGTATGTGAGGTCTGAAAACTCTCTAAGGATCCGTACATTGAAAAAGATTGAACTCATACAAAATCTATTCTCATTCCATAATAGAATGAAATTAGCAATCAATAACAGAAAGGGATTTGGGAAAACTTTATACAGAAATTAAACAACATACTCCTAAAAAAATCTATGGGTCATAGAAGAAATCACACAGGAAATTAGAAAATACTTTGAGATTAATTAAAATGAAAACAATGTAGAAAAATTTATGGAATGCAGCCAAAGTGGTGCTTAGGGGGGAAATGTATAGCTTCTAATGTTTATATTTAAAAAGGAAAAAAGGGCTGGAGTTGTGGCTCAGTGGTAAAGCACTTGCCTAGCACATGTGAGGAACTGGGTTCAATTCTCAGCACCATATATAAGTAAATGAATAAAATAAAGGTTCATCAACATCTTTAAAAAATTTTTTAAAAGAAAAAAAAGATCTCAAATCAATAAATTAATGTTTTACCTTAAGAAACTAGAAGAACAAACCAAAAACAAGTAGAAGGAAAGATAATAAAGGAAGAATAATAAAGATTTGAGTGGAAATAAGTGAAATAGAGAATAGAAATTGATCCAAAAGTTCTTTAAAAGACCAACAAAATTGAGGAATCTTCAGCTAGAGACTGATCCAGGTCAGCCAATGGTGCAGACATCGCGACTGCAGGTGGAAAGCAAGGTGGCCATGGTTGCTGAGTCCTGCAGCCACCCAATGTGAAATGCACAAAGTGGGTAACAAGAACACTGCCAAACCACCTAGCAAAGTTTTCATCAAACTGAAACTAATCATGGAAACAAATCGCAGCTGCTCAAACTGTCTGTCACTCACACAGATGCCCGTGTTAAGGGCCCGTTATATGATGACACTGACTGGGATCAAGCTGTGGATCGTGATTCACTGCTTGCTGCACTGCCATTTTCTCATTTCCGCCTGGATCCATCACCGTACTAGACTGGCGGCACATTCGCCATCATAGAGTGGGTACAAAGGAAAGGATTCTGCGCTTCTGAAGCAGAGGCTGCCACTCCATGCCCAACTTGTGATTTCTGCCAAAAGTTCATCTGTTCATTTCACAATAAGGGAGATTACACTATATATAGCACCGCCCCTGCCCGCACCTGACAGATTAATACACGAGATGCTCGGTTCCCCTTTGGGACTATGGTGATACCTCACACTTTTCAGGTCAAATGGTGCCTTGCCACTGTGGTCCTTTATTATTTTTTTTTATTTTAGTTGTAAATGGACAATACCTTTTTTTAAAAAAAATTATTTTTTTGTGGTGCTTAGGATCAAACCCAGTGCCTCACACATGCTAGGCAAGTGCTCTACCACTGAGCTACAACCCCAGCCTGCCATTGTAGTTCTTGAGATGAATCTGTGTTGTGTTTATAGTTTTCTGGACCATATGAAGTCTTTTATCCCAAAAGCCACTCAGAATAGGCTGACAGTGACCATGCTCCCTACCAGCCCCTGTGAGCTCTGAAATAGCCTCCTCAAAAATCAACTCAGGAATATTTCTAGCTCTCCCTCCTGGTCCCCACACCTTGGTAAGGCAATCGAAATTATGAATGCAGCTGTCCCCAGGATGGGACCATCTCCCATCTTGGCCACATCCTTCATGAAGATTGGAATGTGAGAGTGGAGGTTTTTTTAGAACAATTTTGAAAATTCCAGGTTCCATACTCACCATGTAGGGGACACAATGTTTCTTTCTTCCCCCTAACATCAATTTCAGGCCTGGCTTGTTGGTGACTCCCAGGTAGCAGCCTAGTCAACAGGGGGATTAGAAGATTCAAATGTGTGTGTGTGTGTGTGTGTGTGTAATGTATGGTACTGGGGATAGGATCTAGGGTCATTTTACCACTGAACCACACCCTCAGTCCTTTTTTTTTTATGTTTTGATTTGAAACAGAGTTTTGCTAAGTTGCTGAGGTTGGCCTTGAAATTGTGATCCTCCTGCCTCAGCCTCCCAAGTTGTTGGATCCAGGTGTGCATCATTGTGTCTGGAAAGACTCAAATGTAATTGTGGTCCAGGCCACCAGAATTCTCTTGTTGGCACTCCTGGGATCAGAGGAATAACTGCAGCCCTTGGCTGTGACACCTCTCTCAGAGCCCTCAATATTCCCTGCCACATACAAACAGTGGTCCATAGGCTAAGTGGGTTCAGAATGTGTCCCTATAAGTTTGATTAAAATGCCCTTGTCCTTTTCATACCTAACACTTTCAGGTGATGATTAGGAGGAGGAGACGATCAGGAAAAGGGAGAAGTTCCAGCTACTGGAATGGGATATACAAATTTTGAGACAGAGGAGGGAGAGCAACAGCGTTGGCACCTGGGAAGGAACAGTTCAGACCCTGGGGACGTGGGAGAAGGAGAGATATTAATCAGCTCTGTCTTTCCAACCCGCTTTCCCTGGAACCTTCCTTGCTAAGGGAAACACCCTGCTTCACCTCTCCCAGACTGTTGCAAGTGCCTTAAATTTAACAGACTGTGGGTCTGCCATTCTCCACCTTGGTTCTGTCAGGGATTTGATTGCTATTCTGCTTAGCCTTCCCAAGAGATGGGAAATGACAGAGGTGGCCTCAGCTCCTGTACCTCCCACATAAACACCAATACTCACATGCTGTCCCCATCACTATTCCCGTAGCCAGCACTCAGTCATTTCATGGGGTAGTGGCACAGACAAACAGGACAGGTTGACTTATGGTTCTCAGTCCTTCCCAAAACAAGGGGTAGACTCAATTATTCAAATGGGGTTGGGAGTCCTACCAGCTTGTGAGGAGGCCACACTGGAGGCAATATCAATCGGTGTCCCTCAAATGATGTAGGTCCCACTTGTTTGAAGCAGCTTTGTGTTTCTTCCCAAAAGTGCCATGAGCCCCTTCGCACCAGATTCTACTTTTTATGTGGAAGTCAAGCATTAATTTGCTTCTCTCCTGAAAACAGTCTCTTGGAATCTGTCCCTGACTTTAGCCAAAGTGATCACCACCTTGAATCACTAGGTCAGTCTCTATTCACTGACCAAGGTTGATATGGTTGATCGGATCTCTCTGGGCTTCTTCCTTATGGCCAAGACAGAGTCTGTGCAGTTAATTTTTTAATTTCCTTTTTCTTTTCATTTAATATTTTTAATAGTAGATGTACAATACCTTTAATTTATTTTTATGTGATGCTGAGGATTGAATCCAGTGCCTCGGTGCTAAGTGAGCTACATCCCCAGCCCTGTGCAGTTAATGTATCCCCTTGTACCTGGGTTGGTTAGTGCTTCATGCCTAGTGGAGGGGTCTGTGCAGAGACTTAAGGAGGAAGCCACCTGGTTTTCTAAGATAGGTCTGATGTTTTATAGATTTGCTCACCTGGGACCACGGGGGACATGGGTGAAATCAGTACTGCAAGTTAGCCTCATCCTGCTGCTTGAAGACCTGTCTGCAGTGACCTCAACTAAATGTTGTATGTGACAAATGGAAAAAAAATAGTTTTATCCCCTGTTGATCAAATTACCATGGAAGTAAAAAAATCCAAGTTGGTGTACAAGTGAGGAGTGGATATTACAGTAAGACAATTCTCTATGAGCCTCTGGAGTTTCTGCACATTTTGCAATGAGGCACTAATTGCCTTTGCTCTGGACTCTCTTTTTCAAAGATAAAATGAAGAGCCATGGAAGATGGAGATAGTGTCTCACTCCAGAGCAAGATATGGGCATGCTCACTGGCTTTGGGTTCCCTAAGCTTAGAGTTCTGATCCATACTACAATACACTTCACATGCGGGCACCAATCTGAGCCCATCTACATCACCCCAATGGAACTTGGGGACAAAGGGACAAACACATGCTACTGCTCATGTGGTTTGCTGTGCCATGATAAAGTCCTTTGTCTCTGACCCAAGAATCTCATGTCTTCTGCTAGAATCCTTGAACCTGTGGTAGGCTAACTTGCCAGCTTCCTAGTGGGGTAAGATCTCAGACTTTCTGTGGTCTTTGACAAAAGGAAGGCATATAGAACATTCCTAGAAGTGTTGGTGGCAAATACATTTGCAGCGGTCATGGCAGGCAGACCAGTTGCCTAGGAAGCAGTGGGCTTGGGCTCTTTCTGACCCTTCACCTGTCTACAGAATTTATCACAGGTTCCTGTGAGCAAGACCAGCATCTGTTCCTACCTGTGGATAGGCCCTTTCCTGGGTAACAGTGCACACCGTGATGGCATATTCACACTCAGCTACATTATAGGACCAGCTAAGACTGGTTTATCTGCAGGTGCATACTCACATGAACAAGTGGCCTATGCCACTTTCATGTGACTCTGCAAAGCATAACTTACAGCATTGTGCTTTCCACACTAACAGGCACTTTTTCTTGTTCCCTGCATGTGAACTGATCTGACATTTCTGGGAAATTAAAAGGACTAGATTCTTAATGAAAATAACCCTACTCCATTTTTGGTGTGTTTTCTTTGTGCCAGGCACTGAGCTAAGAGCTTTTCAAGAAGCATCTCATTTAACCCTTAGAACTTCACTGAGTTAGGTCTTAGCAGCATTCCAATTTGCAGAAGAGAAAGCTGAGGCTTGTATCCGGTAAGAGATTTATCCCTGGTCACCTGGGACATGGCAGGGCTGGGGCTTCATGACTCCATCCTGGAAGTCAGTGCTCCTCAAAGTCCTGAGTTCTCACCAGTAGGCCTTACCTTGGTGTAGAAGGTGAGAAAAGTCAAGGGGAGAAGAACCTTTATGATTTATTAACCATCAAAAGGGGCTGGGTGGCTGTGGTTGTGGCTCAGTGGTAAAGCATGTGCCCACCATGTGTGAGGCACTGGGTTCGATCCCCAGCACCATGTAAAAACTAAAAAAACAAAATAAAGATATTGTGTCCGTGTACAACTAAAAAAATACACAAAAATAAGGGGGAAATGGGAATGTGGCTTAGTGGTAAAGCACTTGCTTAGTATATGCAAGGCCCTGAGTTCTAGCCAAAGCACAGAAAAAAAATTAAATCATTTATATGAAGTGTGAAGTTAATTTCATTTTCCAATGTCATTTCTCCATGTTTACCATTTTGGTACACACAATAAATGACATATCTGCAGGATTCATCAATGACCACTTTCAGTACAGTGTCTACGGAAAAAGATGCTTCTGAGTAGAACTGTCCCCTCCAAGCCTCTGTAACTCCACCCAACCTCTTAATATATATATATATATATATATATATATATATATATATATATATGTATATATGTATATATATATATATGTAATTAGTTGTAGGTAGACACAATACCTTTATTTATTTTTATGTGGTGCTGAGGATCTAACCCAGTGCCCCACCCATGCTAGGTGAGCGCTCTACCCCTTGAGCCACAACCCCAGCCACAACCTTTTTTGACCTGATGGACTTGCCTGAAACTCCTTATTACTACTCCAGAGCCATTTCTTTCCTCAGAGCCTAGAAGCTTCCCAGAGACATTCAGAGCTCAGTGAGAGATGGTACATAGACTGGCACATGGTACTTCTCACTGCAGTAGTTCTCCTTGTGTAGACAGCCCCTGTCCCATCACACAGCCCATCACGGCTCCCAGACCTAGATAACAATGAAGAAAGCTAATATATACTGAGTATGTATATGTACCTGGCATTGGTTACAGGTTTCATAAACACCAGTTCATTGTTCCCTGTTGAAAATTGAGAAAGCAGATACATAGAGAAATGGAAGAGATTTTCCCACTTCACACAGTGTTTTGTGAATTTCCCAATTCACATAATACAACCAGGGTAATCATTCAGAAAGCAACCACTATGCTATGCTGTCTTCTTCTTTTTTTTTTGGTACCAGGGATTGAACTCAGGGGCATCTGACCACTGAGCCAGATCCCCAGCCCTATTTTGTATTTTATTTAGAGACAAGGTCTCATTGACTTGCTTAGGGTCTCACTTTTACAGAGAATGGCATTGAACTCGAAATCCTCTTGCCTCAGCCTCCCGAGCTGTTGGGATTACAGGCACTACCTCTCCCAGCCTGAGACATAACTATCTTTTTTTTTTTTTTTTTTAGAGAGAGAGAGAGAGAGAGAGAGAAAGAGAGAGAGAGAGAATTTTAATATTTATTTTTTAGCTCTTGGCAGACACAACAACTTTGTTTTTGTATGTGGTGCTGAGGATCGAACCCAGGCCACACGCATGCCAGGCAAGGGCGCTACCGCTTGAGCCACATCCCCAGCCCCATAACTATCTTGATTTAGGCTGTGAAGCTGTGTCCAGTCAATCTCTCAACAGGGCATCAGGAGCCTGTTCTATTAAGGACTCAAGTCCTGCTTCTGCCACAGAGACTGTGTAACCTTGGCTAATTTCCTAGCCTTCTCTGGGTCTAAGAACTCAAACACAGTCTGAACATTTGCTGGGCCTGGTTCCATGGCTCCTCTTTGTCTCAGTCTAGAAAATCCCTCATTGCAAGTATATCAGAGAGCTGAGGGCCCTCCGCCCCCCCACACCCATACGGGCTCAGGTCACCTGGGAGCCATTCATACCACTTGCCTCTCAGGCACCCTCTGCTTCACAGGCCCTCAGATTCCACCTCCCCAAAATCCATCTCCACACAGTCCTCATGATGCCATCTCCAGGGATGAAGGCAGAGTGCCCTGATACAGTAAGTACCCTCTCAATGAAAATTAAACCCAGATTTCCCACCAGGCCCCCTCCCGCCCCACCTCACCTCCCTGTTTCTCACTGGCTTTCCCTCAGGCCTTGGAAGAACTAAGTTTCTTTCCCACCCCTTCCTTCTACACGTCCCTCTGCAAACAGTCTCTTCTTTGGTTTCCTCTGCTTCCTCAGCCTCCAGCAAGCATCTCTTAGATCCATCCTCCAGTCCCTGGTGCAAAAGGCCTTTTGGCAGAGGATCTTCCTGGGCCCCCAGGTCCCACTGCCACTTTTGCCTTCAGATACCTGCTCTTCTCTGTCACAGCACCTCCATGGTGGCCACCGATATGTGTGAAATGACTTGTCACATGTTCATCTGCCTAGTATAGAAGCTCTGGGAGGGCAAGAATTTTTCTCGTGGTAGGCAAGAGCTTGGCATGTGGTAGATTCTCAATTTGGTGAATGAATAGATCACAGAAAAGCAAACTGAGGCTTAGAGAGATCAAGATTCCAAGCAGTCTCCTGCACCATTTGTGCTGGCCAAGGTGAGCCACAGTCTGCTCTGGGCGGGGAAGGGTCGGGTTCAGATGAGTATGAGGGAAAAAATGAACATAAAATGCTCAGGCCACGCCTGGCAGGTGGTAAGTGGTTAGTATTAATCCCTGCCTCAGAGTGTGACCAGAGCCTAAGGGAGGGGGGCTCCCCCTCACAAGCCTTCCTGGATTCCAGTGGCAGAGAATCCACTGGGGACACAGAACTGCCCCCTTCCAGCCCTGCAGTGCCACAAAATATGGAACAGGGCCTGAGCCACTGAGCAATTCAAGTAGGGCTCACCTCAGTCCCTCCAAAGCCACCCAAATAAAGTCACCCTCACAGTAAAAGCCATGAGCTGTCTGTTCAGGTGTGCCTGAAGGTAAGCACATCCCCTATCCCAGGCAGATTGCCAAACCTGCCGCTTTCTTGCCCTGCCTTGGTACTTCTGACCCTGGTCATGAGGCCCCCTAATGGATTCTGTGAGTCAGACACAGGATCCTGGGGGCTCCTGGCAGTCCCTCGCCTTATGGCTCAGGGTCCCTAAACCCCAGTCTTTCTTCCAGACCAGTGGATAGAATTGGCTCCTCTCTAGCCTTTTCCCAGCCCAAGACCCCTCCTCAGCCTCTGCCAATCCCTGTCCTGGGCCCTGCTGGGCCCCTCCCCAGCCCCCTGGGCCCTTAAGCAGCACCCCCCTCCTCCCGGCTGTTAGCCTGGGAAGGGGGCCAGGTCCTGAGCTCAGACCTTGGCGATTCCTGAGTGTCTGAGGCCCCGAGCCAGCCCAGCCAGCCCGGCCAGACAGGGAGGGGGGGAGTGGCAGGGTGGGCACCAGGAAGCCTTCTAAATGGGGGAGGGGGACTTGGCATAGAAGCTGGGTTTCTAGCTTTTTTCTGTTTTTCTTCCCCACCCTACGGACTTCTTCCTGGGACCTGAGTCCTGGCCAAAACGTGCCCTTCCTGAGTCCTTATCTCAGAGGGGAGTGGACCAGTACTAAGGAGAAGTGACTTGGGGGCGTGATACCCCCACATGTGCAAGGGCGGCTGCCAAAGAGCTGATCAGCCTGGGTCCCAGCCCCACTCGACCACGATCCTCCGCTTGACCCTGGTCAAGGCCCATCTTCCTCCCCCAGCCTCGGTTTCCCGCTTCGACCGGGCGGGGCGCCTAGTCTACGCGGGCCTCCCCGCCCCGCCCGGAGGAATCTGGCGGGACGGCCCGTGCGTCCCAGGTGAGGACTCCCTGGAAAGGGCCCAGCGCGGTTCCGGCGGGGGCGGGCATCTGGGGCGAGGAGCGCCCCGCGTCGGCCCGCCAGTCCGCACACTCGCGCTCCTCCGGGCGGCAGCGACGACGCTTTAAACAGAAAAAAACTGTCTCCCTGGCCCGGGGCCAGCGTCCCAGCCCCCCTCGCCGCCGCTGCGCCTCGCTCCAGCCAGGGAAAACAACTGCTCACTTCTCCTGCGTCCTCCCCGCGCGCTCCCTGCTTCCCGGCGGCCGCGGAGAGAAGCCCGGCCAGGGGGAGGCGCGGAGCGGGCCGGCCGCCCGGCCTTCCTCTGCCCTCGCTCCTCCTCTCCGCCTCCACTTGCTCCGGTCTCCGCTCTCCGGCCTCGGTTCGGGGCCTGGCTGGGCTTCTCCCGGGCCGAGAAGTTTCTGGGCTCCCCGCAGTCCATCCTCCATCTCTTGGCCTCGCACTGGGCCCCCGCCCGCGCCTGCCGTCCCCTCCCTGCCCGCTCCCTCGGCTCCTCTCCCTCGCTGCCCTCTCCACCCTGTCCCTGGCTCCCGGCTCTAGATCCCCGCCGGCGCCGGCCCCTCCTCGCCCCCGCCCGGGCGCGCCCCCCGGGGTCAGCGGCCCCGGATGCCCGGGCCCCGAGGGGCTGCTGGAGGCCTGGCCCCTGAGATGCGCGGGGCGGGGGCGGCGGGGCTGCTGGCGCTGCTGCTGCTGCCACTACTGGGCCCGGGCGGCGGGGCCGAGGGGGGGCCGGCCGGAGAGCGGGGCGCCGGCGGGGGCGGGGCGCTGGCCCGCGAGCGCTTCAAGGTGGTCTTCGCGCCGGTGATCTGCAAGCGGACCTGTCTCAAAGGCCAGTGTCGGGACAGCTGCCAGCAGGGCTCCAACATGACGCTCATCGGAGAGAACGGCCACAGCACCGACACACTCACGGGCTCCGGCTTCCGCGTGGGTGAGGGCCAGGGGCTCGGGCTGGGGGAAGCCGGGAAGGACAGGCGCCAGGACCAGGTGGGACACAGAGTGGAGCCTCATGCATAAAGGTGGGGAGCTGGGGGTACAGAGAGCAGAAATCTCGGCCCCGAGGGCATTAGTAGCTTGGGAGACTGCAGTCCTGAAGGCCAGAATTGGAGGACTATGGAGGCCTGGCCTCTGAAGCTTTGGGTTAAGGTTGGGGCCTAGGATGGGGTCCTGGATGACACCAGCTTCCTGGAAGGTGTGAGTTCTGAGAAGGAGTGCAGAGGTTTTTCAGAGATATGAGCAGGGCAGAAAGCCTAAGAGAGAGAGAGAGAGAGAGAGAGAGAGAGAGAGAGAGAGAAATATTTTCCTGTCTTTTAAAAATGTCTAAAGCAGGCCCTGCCAGGAGTAGACACCTGTGTTTTCTGGGGGTGAGGGCGTCAGTCATTGGCAAAGTCTGAGAGGAGGGGGGTTGAGACCTAAGACATGGGGTGCAGGCCTGGAGGTGGGGACTGGTTTAGGTCCTCAGTCCCTCCTTTTCCTGTGTCTCCCGTAAACTCTCAACATCTCTCCCTCAAAGGTACTCAGAGTCTCCCCACCCTACCCCAGGCCCTTAGGACCTCCCCTTCAGCCCAGAGCCCACCCTCTCTACAGCTCTCTGTTCACAGGACCAGGCCTGGGGCTTGGGCCTCCTCCCCCAGGGCCTGTGGGCCAGGCTGGGGGAGGTGTCCCAGCAGTAATTACCCTCCTGGACAGGGTAATTAGGCCGAGCCCAAGATGGCACCAGCAAAACAGCCCCTCTCATACAGTCCCCTGCTCACTCACCCACTCCAGACCTGAGGAACCCTACTCCAGGGATTCACAGTTCCCAGGAGATGGAGGGTGTGTGTGTGTGTGTGTGTGTGTGCGCGCTCGTGGTCCCTGTGTGTAGGGAGCAAGATGAAGCTTTGGAGTGAAACACTGTGATTAGTCTGGGCCTTGTGTTGCTGTCTCTGTGTGTCTAAGTCACTGTCCAGGAGTGTATGGGAGTGTTTACCTAGCGAGCCTTGATGGTGTCAGGAGTCTCTCTCTGTGTGTGACCTGATGACTGTATGTGAGCATGTGTGTGCCTGGCCTCCCAGACCCACTAGCCATCCTGTGCAGGCCGCTGTCTCCATCCGTGCTGCCCACATCCCCCAGGCTCAGTGCCCAGGCCACAGTGGGCGGGTGTCACTGGGAGGTCACTCTCACCACTATGGGTGAGTCACTGGGAGGCAGGAAGGAGAGGATCCTGCCTCCCCAGGCCCAGGACACACCTCTTCTGCCCTGGGAGGCCTGGTCCCCAGGGGCCGGGCAGGATGGGCTGGGATGCTCAGCCCAACCCCCATGGCCAGGAATGAAGGCTGTCCCTATAAGACCCTTTCAGGTGTCCAGGAGAGCAACAAAGTCACCTTCTCACCCTGGGAAGTGAGGGCATCCTTAGCGAAGACAGGAGCAGGACTGGAGCTTTCTCAGGAACTCAGGGCCCCAGACTAGAAGCACATGTCAGGTTTGACTATGTGACAAAGCAACAGAAAGTTCTCACCTCTTGCTCAGTCACACCTTCATTCATCCCCATGAACCTCCTTTGAGACCTAGAGCTGGGGCCCACCAGGCCCTGCTCTCCAAAGAGCAGAGGTAGATGGTTTAAGGTTCTGGCTGTGCGAGCCTCCCATGTCTAGGCCAGGACAAAAGCAGTGAGCAGGGGTGTGCCATGTCAGAGTTTAATCTGAGGGGGCATTCTCCAGGGATTATGGGATTGCGGACAGGTAGGAAGGAGGCAAGAAGCCATGGAGGGTCTGAGTAGCAGGGCCAGAGTCGGGAGGGACCAAGGCCATAGGAAGCAGGGGAGATGGGCTCATGGGACATTACTGAGACTGAAAGGTGGAACAGGCAGGAGCAAGAGGAGTGGAACCTTGAGGGTCACTTATGCACAGTGAGCCCAGGTTCTGAGGTACTGATTTCTAACAGTATCCCTGGTGTAGATGCCCAAGAAAGGTCCTGGAGGGGCCATAGTTGTATTCAGAGATGGGACATCATTCGCAGTGATGAGGTGGGGGCTGGAGGGGCAAGGTAGAAGGCAGGGGAGAGACAGCCAGTAGAAAGAGAGGCTGAGGCCTGAATTAGAGGGAGAGTGGAGGGAGAAGAGGAGGAGGCACTAGGGAGAACTCCCATGCCCAGGGAAGGCTCCAGAGGAAAGCCAGAGGAAGAGCAGGCTGCTCCCTCCTGATGGTCACCATCATTTGCTACTTCTCTGTGTGAACTGCACTGTGCTAAGCATTTGTACAGTTCTTGCCTCACTGAATGGACACATCTCCATGCACGAGGGCACCGTAGCAAGGGCAGGGGAAGGAAGTTGCTCAGGGTCACACATCTGGCTCACGGCATGGCTAGAATTTAAGTTAGAAACTTAAAACTCCAGAACCCACCATGGGTATAGGGTGTTGGGACCTAGAGAGGGCAGTTTCCATGTGTGTGATACATTTCAAATTCAGTTTCCCAAGAAGGATGGAGCCAGTGGGTGACAAGGAAGGTGGGGGGACAGGACATGGGAGAGGGGAGGCCTGTGGGCTGGGCTCAGCACAGGCCCTGATCCACCTCCCTCACCCCCAGTGGTGTGCCCTCTGCCCTGTATGAACGGCGGCCAGTGCTCCTCCCGAAACCAGTGTCTGTGTCCCCCGGACTTCACCGGGCGCTTCTGCCAGGTGCCCGCTGGAGGAGCTGGCGCGGCCACCGGCAGTTCAGGTCCAGGGCTGGGCCGGGCTGGAGCCCTGTCCACAGGCGCGTTACCACCCCTGGCTCCTGAGGGCGAGCCTGTGGCCAGCAAGCACGCCATCTACGCGGTGCAGGTGATCGCAGACCCTCCTGGACCAGGGGAGGGGCCCCCTGCGCAGCATGCGGCCTTCCTGGTGCCCCTCGGGCCAGGGCCAGGACAGACCTCAGCAGAAGGTACTGGAGGATGGGCAAACCCGAGGGGCTCGAGGTGGGCGAGCATGGATATGACCAAACCCTGGCGGGGGGCAACCCAGGAGAACCTCAAGGCTGCAACCCCCCTGACAAGGCAGCCCTGAGGCCACTGCATCCCACCCCCAGTGCAGGCCCCGCCCCCCGTGGTGAACGTGCGTGTCCACCACCCCCCCGAGGCCTCCGTCCAAGTGCACCGCATCGAAGGGTCCAACTCCGAAGGCCCGGCCACGGCCCAGCTTCTGCTGCCGCACCCCAAGCCCCCGCACCCACGGCCACCCACCCAAAAGCCCTTGGGCCGCTGCTTCCAGGACACGCTGCCCAAGCAGCCAGTGAGTGAATCCACAGTCCCAAGGGCACCGCCCTTTGGTTTCTCAGGGTCTCCCTGCCCAACTCATTAAAATTGCATAAGGGTCTGCAGGTTGAGGTCCAGGAGCGGGACAGGGAAAGGGCCCCAGGAGGGAGGTGAGTGAGAGCAGGGCACTCTGTGACCTCACCCCCAACCCCTATCCCTAGTGTGGCAGCAAGCCCCTACCCGGCCTCACCAAGCAGGAAGACTGCTGCAGGAGCATTGGCACCGCCTGGGGCCAGAACAAGTGCCACAAGTGCCCCCAGCTGCAGTGTGAGTGCCTGGTCTCAGTGGGGCTCCCCCACAGGGCCACCCATCCCATCCTCCTCCCACCTCTGCCATAGAAGGCTCCAGCCCAGTGGCCCCAAATTCCTCCCTCCCTTCCCTCTGGCCTCCCCCGTGGCCTCTTTTCCCTCCAAAGAGACCTGCAGTGTCCCCCTATTCCCCTGCCATGCTGTCCTCTCTCTGCAGACACAGGGGTGCAGAAGCCTGGGCCTGTCCGTGGGGAGGTGGGTGCAGACTGCCCCCAGGGCTACAAGAGGCTCAACAGCACTCATTGCCAGGGTATGGCCAGTAGGAGATTCTGTGGGCTTGGGGAGGGGCGGGCCTGTTGTGGGTGGGGAAGGTCTCAAGGTGGGCAAGGGAAGAGACAGAGTTGGGGTAGGACTCTGAGGGTCTTGGAACAGCTTGCTGTCACCTTATGGCTCCAGACTAGAGAAACCAAATTCTCACTTACCACAGACATCAACGAATGCGCGATGCCAGGCATGTGTCGTCATGGTGATTGCCTCAACAACCCTGGCTCCTATCGCTGCGTCTGCCCACCTGGCCATAGCTTGGGCCCCTCTCGAACACAGTGCATTGGTGAGACACAGGGTCCTTGGAGGTTACGAGGCACAGGTGGGAGGGGAGGAGCTCCCAGGATCGAGAGTCAGGTCAGAAGAGATCAGAAGGGGGTCATGCATTGACTGCAGGAGAAACAAAACCCAGAGAAGACAGGATCAGTGATCAAAGGGGTCAGAGGACATATGAGATCTTAGGTTAGAGGTCATATGACATCAAGGCTTATATGAAGTCAGGGTCCTATAGATCAGGGGCTTAATGGGAAGGGGGGTAAAGTCCAGAGCAGCTAGAATCAGGGGTCAATAGTCTTGTAGATTTCAGGAGTCACATTAGCCACATGGGGATGGGCTAGAGAAGCAAGGTCTGGAGCAGATGGACAGAGGGATATGAGCAGTAGTTGGTCCCAGAAGCCCATGCTGCCCACTACCCCCTGCAGCAGACAAGCCAGAGGAGAAGAGCCTGTGTTTCCGCCTGGTGAGTCCTGAGCACCAGTGCCAGCACCCCCTGACCACGCGCCTTACCCGACAGCTCTGCTGCTGCAGTGTGGGCAAGGCCTGGGGTGCGCGGTGTCAGCGCTGCCCAGCAGATGGCACCGGTATGCAGGGGGCTTGTAGGGTGGCAGGGGTGGGGGTGGGGTGTTTTCTGTCTGGAAAACACCCACTTTTGTGTCTGCTGTCTTGACCACAGCTGCCTTCAAGGAGATCTGCCCAGCTGGGAAGGGGTACCACATCCTCACCTCCCACCAAACCCTCACCATCCAGGGTGAAAGTGACTTTTCCCTTTTCCTGCACCCTGATGGGCCACCCAAGCCCCAACAGCTCCCTGAGAGCCCCAGCAGGGCACCACCACCTGAGGACACAGAGGAAGACAGAGGTCTGGCTTGATCCCTTGACCCTTGATCCACACATATGACCTCTCCGTCTAAGCCCTAACTCCTAATCCCTTTCCTGAAACACTGATCCTCCCAGACTGGACCCAGAAATTTGACCCTGGGCCATAGCCTCCTAAGCCTTGATCTGTAACCCAAGGACCTCAACCATTGCTCCTCAGACCACCAAGTAACACAGCCTAACTCCAGGAGCTATCTCTAGACCCTTGACCCAGAGACATGACTGCTGGACTCTTAGAGACCCTAACCATAGCCTGAAACAGATGTGCATGCCCATAATTCTTGCAGTTGGAGAGGCTGAGGTAGGAGAATTACAGGTTCAAAGACAGCCTCAACAATTCAGAGAGGCCCTTAAGAAACTTAGTGAGACCCTGTCTCTAAATAAAAAATAAAAATAAATAAAGGGGGCTAGGGATGTGGCTCAAGAGGTAGCGCGCTCGCCTGGCATGCGTGCAGCCCGGGTTCGATCCTCAGCACCACATACAAACAAAGATGTTGTGTCCGCCAAAAGCTAAAAAATAAATATTAAAAAATTCTCTCTCTCTCTCTTTAAAAAAATAAAAAATAAATAAAGGGCTGGGAATGTGGCTCAGTAGTTAAGCCACTCTGGATTCAATCCCTGGTACCAAAAAAAAAAAGGAGGGACTGGGGTTGTGGCTCAGTGGTAGAGTGCTTGCCTAGCATGCACGAGGCACTGGGTTGGATCCCCAGCACCACTAAATGTAAAATAAAGATATTGTGACCACCTAAAACTAAAAAATAAATATTAAAAAAAGGAGAGAGAGAGACCCTAAGCATACAGATATGACTCACACCCCAGTGTTTAATATCCCTATTTTTTTCCCTTTTAGGGGTGACCACCGACCCAGTGAGTATGAGAACCCAGGTGGGAGAGGCAGGGAAGGTGAGGGATTCAGGTAGGGTTTATGCTGCTGTCACCCACAGCCAGTGAGTGAGGAGCGGTCTTTGCAGCAGAGCCACCCTACAGCCACCACCTCTCCTGCGCGACCCTATCCAGGTGAGCTGGGCGCTTCAGGGAGCAATTCTCAGGGGCTAAGTCTGGGGTTGGGGGGAGTTAACAGCCTAGGCACTGGGGGGCAGTGAAGCTGGGGTAAGACCTGGGGGGACAAGGGAGGCTCAGTCTCTTAGGAGCCTTGGGTGCTGCCTGCAGAGCTGATGTCCCGCCCTTCACCACCTACTATGCGCTGGTTCCTGCCGGACTTACCCCCCTCCCGAAGTGCGGTGGAAATCGCCCCAACTCAGGTCACAGGTAAGGTCTGTTTGGCAAGGTCATGACCTCCAACTTAATTTCCGCACCCCCGGTCCCCCTCCAATCATATTGTAGCATTAACAGGCTAACACTTGACCAGGGCTGGGCTCTGGGAAGTCCTGGTGAAAGAGGGATTCCACCACACCCTTAAATGGCCCAAGCAGCATGGTAGACAGTCTGAGAGCTTTCACTCATTTGACCTGTGTTTATTGAATACCTGCTATTTGCCAGCACTGTTGAGGTGCTTGGGATGCTGGGGGGAACAAAAATAGAGAAGAATTTCCTGTCTTTACAGAGCAGACAAAAACCAGATCAATCAGGGGGAAAAAAACACCTAGTATTTCTTATAAATGCTATGAAAAAATAAATCAGAGAAGGAGGAAGAAGGTCTGGGGGTTGTGATAATATTTAGGATATCAATGAGAGAAAACCATGCAAGGTTTTAAAGAGGATTAGAAATTCAAGAGGAGTGGGGAAGGGAGGGGCATGCAGGTTGAGGAAAAGAACATTCCCAGGGAAGAGAAGTTTGGGTAAAGGCATGGAAGTATGAAGCACTGGGTGGAGGAGAAAGAAACCAGACACAGATGGGTGTTTCTGAGCCAGGGAAAGCCCAGTGCGTGGAGGCTTGTTAAGAGGCTTGGGTTTGATGCCACAGGCTATGGGAAATGTCTGAAAGGACTGAACATCAAAATAATTGCTAGCTCAGACTGAGCAATCCCTCTGTGCCAGGCACTGTCTAAAGAGTTTACAGACTAAATATCACTTAATCTTCTCATGCTGAAAAGTGAGCCTTGTTGCCTCCTTTTCCAGATGAGAAAACTGAGGTTGAGACAGTCTCAGTAATTTGCTCTAGGTCACACAACTGAGCCAAAGTCAAGCTTGTGTTGGCATGGGCTCCAAAGCCACAAGGGAGCTGTCAACCTGAAACTCTGAACCTAGATGTGCTCCTGGAGTTAGGGCTCAGGTGGAAGGTGGCTGCCCCAGGGCTGTGGGAATGTGAAGGATGAGGCACCTGGGGAGGATGTTAAGGACACCTGGAGAAATACTCCAGGGGAGGAGAGCAGCCTGCAGAAGCCTACTAGTGGGTCAGGTAGGAGTGGGTCAGAGCAGAGGTCAACACCACTCCTGGGGTCATGATGGGGGTCAATGGGGGTGTGCTTGAGATGAAACTATTGGATCTTGGGATCAAAAAGAGGGAGGAAGGGGAAGCAGGGAATCCTGAGCTTGGTGACAAACTGGGTGAGGAATGTTCCTGCATCTGACCAAGTGTGCACAGCTGTGATGAAAGTTAGGATTCCCAGGAAAGGTCTCCTAACTGCCTTGGGAAGGCAGGTAATCATCCATTCTGGAGTGGAGCACCCAGGTCCCTGGGGGAAGGGGTGTTAAAGTCACTGGTTAAAGGATATTGGTGTGATTGAGGCTATAGGATGACTGGGGAGAATGGGATTTCAAGCCCCTTGGGGAAAGATATTGGGACAACTGAGACCCTGAGGGGATGTGGTTTGGTTTCAGGTGACTGGAGGTCAGGCTCTTGGAGTGAATGGGAATGGAAGTATGAAAGGTCTTGGTATAAAGGTGATAGGGATGTCAGGTACCTAGGGTCCTTGTTTGGGACTACCTGGGATCATGATATGGGGGCTATCTGGGATGAAGTGTAGGAAATCCTAGGATTGAAATAGGGATGTGCAGGAACCTGAAGTCACCTGGTGACCTGGTTTAGGTATCCGGGTCTGTGGGTCTGGATGTCAGGGTCTGCCCTGGGGCCGTGGCAGGTGAATGCGCCCTCTTTGCCCCCTGACTCACCCGTGCCTGCAGAAACCGATGAGTGCCGACTGAACCAAAATATCTGTGGCCACGGAGAGTGCGTCCCGGGCCCCTCGGACTACTCCTGCCACTGCAACCCGGGCTACCGGTCGCATCCGCAGCACCGCTACTGCGTAGGTAGGTGAGCGCCACGCAGCGCTGAGTAGGCGGGCGGGCGCGCAGGCAGGTGGCTCTGCGGGAGCCCTGGCTCAAAACTTCCCTTTGATGTCTCCTGGCCCACCCGTCCTTCTCAGACGTGAACGAATGTGAGGCGGAGCCCTGCGGCCCGGGGAGGGGAATCTGCATGAACACTGGAGGTTCCTACAACTGCCACTGCAACCGAGGCTACCGCCTGCACGTGGGCGCCGGGGGGCGCTCGTGCGTGGGTGAGCGCCGTGGGCACAGGGGCAGTACTCAGTTTCTTGGGTGGAGAGCGCTCCTCTCCTATGCTCCGGTTAACCCTTCCTCCGCCCCCTGATCTCTTTTCCCGACGCCTTTCTCCCGCTCAGACCTGAATGAGTGCGCAAAACCTCATCTGTGCGGCGACGGTGGCTTCTGCATCAACTTTCCCGGTCACTATAAGTGCAACTGCTACCCAGGCTACCGACTCAAAGCCTCCCGACCGCCGGTGTGCGAAGGTGGGGACCCATCCACACCAAAGGGTGGATCCCAGATGTCTCTTCACCTGGGATGGGGGCGGGAGCCTGCAGTAATCTCTGCCCAGTTCTGAGCCTCTCAGATCGGGGTTCGGAAGCCCCAAGCATCCTGTTCTTGATTTGTGTTGGAGAGAGGCCTTCCAAGTACCCTGAGCGCCGGACCAGCCAACTTGTGCCCAGACGGGTCCTCCTCCTTTCTCCTGTGCAGACATTGACGAGTGTCGGGACCCTAGCTCCTGCCCCGATGGCAAATGCGAGAACAAACCCGGGAGCTTCAAATGCATTGCGTGTCAACCTGGCTACCGCAGCCAGGGGGGCGGGGCCTGCCGCGGTGAGAGCGGGGACTCGAAGGCTAATGGGTGGAGCCCTTCCCTGATGGGGCGGGGGCAGGACTAGGGGCAGCAAAAGGTGCCTCGTGGGCGGAGCGTCCTGAGAAGGGAGCGCCCCGCCACCAAGCCCAGGCGGAGATTTCTCGACAACGCGCATCCTACGGTGCCGCAGAGTCTGAAGCGAGCTCTCTACGCTGCAGACATCAACGAGTGCTCGGAGGGCAGTCCCTGTTCACCCGGCTGGTGCGAGAACCTTCCGGGTTCCTTCCGATGCACCTGTGCCCAGGGTTACACACCGGCGCCAGATGGCCGCAGTTGCGTGGGTGAGCTCCTGCACGCCCCGATTGCTACCCTCCAACAGCTTGGGCGCTGAAGCCAGGCATTGTAGTCGCCCTGTCTGTAAAATGATGGGTGGACGGGAGGTGACCAATTCATTCCCCAGCTCTTTTATTCAGTCAATCATTTTCTCAGCAAAGGGGCTGCAGAGTTTCCAGTAGGAAGTCTTAGGAGGCAGTGCTTGAAACTGCGTTTGCAATGCATGTCTCTTAAATTTGAAGGTAAAAAAATATATCAAACACAGGGTGATGGGCACCCCTGCACTAATGTTTACTGTGCACCAAGCCGTGGGCTAAGGGTTGGGATTCAGAGGACCGAAGACACAGACTGTACTAGAGCTGGGAGCTTGGAAGGAGCTGGGATGCTCCTTGGAAACCAGCACTGGACTGGGAGGAAGGAAACCTGAGTTGTGTTAAAGGACCGATAGGAATTAGTAGAGCAAAAAACAATGAGAAGGAACAGAAGCCAGACAGTAGTGGAAGAAATGAGAGTAGTCACCTCAAAATGGCCATAAAATGATGAGACATCAGAGAAATATTGGAGCAGATTAACTGGGCATGCTGGTTAGGAGACAAGGTGAAAAAAAGAGGGGAATGAGAGACCCTCTAGGTATGTGGTTTGGTAATTCAGTGGATGGTGCTGCCCACTAGAATATGATACCTAGGGGTAGACATATTTGGGCAGAAAGATTCTGAGTTCTTTGTTGGCCAAGGGGAATCCAAACCCATGGGCACCCTGTGCTTCTCTACTGGAGATGTCAGTAGAGGCTAGGCCATGTGGGTTGGTAGTTTGGTAGTCTTGGGCCATACATACCCTTGACTGTGGACTATGGGAGTTATGGAGTGTTGAGGCGAGGCTTGTTCAGTCAAGGAGGGTGAGCTGGGTAAGGGGAGCATTTGGCAGAACCTGGTAGACACTGATGCACAGGGGCAGGTAGAGGTGAGGGAGAAGGAATGGTAAGAGGATTCATGATGGAAAGAGGGACGGTAGGTGGACTGCAGAGCACCATTTAAAAATCTGGGGAAGCCAGGTGTGGTGGTGTGTACCTATAATCCCAGGCTGAAGCAAGAAGATCAAAAGTTGGAGGCCAAGCCAGGCACCATGGCACATGCCTATAATCCAAGTGTCCTGGGAGGCTAAGAGGATGAGTTCAAAGCCAGCCTCAGCAATGGCAAGGTGTTAAACAACTCAGTGAGACCCTGTCTCTAAACAAAATACAAAATAGGGCTGGGGATATGGCTCAATGGTTGAGTGCCCCTGAGTTCAATCCATGGTACCCCCCTCCCGCCAAAAAAAAAAAAAAAAAAAAAAAAGGAATGTTGGAGGCCAGCCTCAGCAACTTAGTGAGACCCTGTCTCAAAATAAAAATTAAAAGGTCTGGGGATGTGGCAGGGGTTAAGCATCCCTAGGTTCAATTCCTGATACAAAATAAATAAATCGTTGGGGAAACCTAGAGCAGTATGAGGAGAAGGGCGGGGAGGGTGCCTCTTTAGTGAGGGTCTGTGAAGGGTATGAAGCCCTGGTCTTTTTGGCATCAAACCTAGCCAGGGGCCCTGAAAGCTCTTGGCTTGGCCATTGGCACACGTGGGAGCTGGCCTCAGCTCAGGTACTCCAGGCCATGAGCAGGAATGGAAAAAGAGTAGCAGAGCTCAGAGACTAATATCATCCTGGCCCTCTGACACCCCTGTGTCCTACAGATGTGGATGAGTGTGAAGCTGGGGGCGTATGTGACAATGGCATCTGTACCAACACACCAGGCTCCTTCCAATGTCAGTGCCTCTCTGGCTACCATCTGTCAAGGGACCGGAGTCACTGTGAAGGTGAGGGGTCCTAGAGCTGGGGCGCTGGCTTGTCCCTCCCTATCCCAGGACCCTTACTGCCAGGTCTAGTCCCCATCCAGATCCCAGATGTGATATGGGGCTATGGAGCCTCCCGGGGCATTGAGGGAGGGGTACTTTGGCAGCTTCAGCCCCTGAGACTCCCCACCTCCTTGTTCTCCTACAGACATTGATGAATGTGACTTCCCTGCGGCCTGCATTGGGGGTGACTGCATCAACACCAACGGCTCCTACAGATGTCTCTGCCCCCAGGGGCATCGTCTGGTGGGTGGCAGGAAGTGTCAAGGTATGAGGGATTGGCTGAGGGCTTCTGAGGGGAGTGGCAGGGTGCAGTAATCCCCCAGATACACTGGCCTTTCTGTCTTTCCATCCATGCATCCTACACTCAGCTGTCCTTCCATTCTTTCACCTGAATAACAGAATAACAGTAATAATGACATTAGTGCTTCTGTGATGCTTACTTTATGCTAGATGTGTTAGTCCAATTTACCAACTCACCCATACTTGTGTTCATCCTCAAGAGATAACTGAGCACTTACTGTTTGCCAGGTTCTGTGCTCTGTACTAAGTACTCAGCAATGACCAAGGGCTCCCAGCCTCCAGTGGTGGTGGTGGTGGTGGTGATAAACTAATTTTCAGCATTAGAGTGCAGGGTGTCAAGAAGGTTCTGGACTAGCAATCAGTGGGGAGATGACCATTGAATTGGGACTTGAAGCATAATAATAGTGGTTCTCAGACAAAGGCATTGGATGGTATTTCACCCCCCAAGAACAGTATTTGCAAAGTACAAAGATCTGGAAGTTATGTTTCAAGGAGAGCAATACTGATATCCTGAGCATGGGGTTGGAGGGAGCTGGAGGGAGCTGGAGGGTGATGGGACTGAAGGGTATTCAGAGAGCAAACTGAGCTGATTTAGGACTTCATTCTGTTGTCATTGGGGGACATTGAAGGATGACAGCAGTGAGTGTACCTACCCACCTATGTGGACCAGAGGGCATCTCTCTGGAATGTACGTGGAAATCAAAGTGGAAATTCAGGTTCTGAATTTCAGGTCCTCAGGGCACACTCCAGGGAAGGAGGCAGTGGTTCTTGTCAGAGCCATTTCTATCCCTGCTTCTTGCTCCCTTTGCTCCCTCCAGACATAGATGAGTGCAGCCAGGACCCTGGCCTGTGCCTGCCCCATGGGGCCTGTGAGAACCTGCAGGGCTCCTACGTTTGTGTTTGTGATGAGGGCTTCACCCCCACCCAGGACCAGCATGGCTGTGAGGGTGAGTATCCTCCCAGTTTTCTCCTCAGACTAGACAACTCCCCTGAACTGCAGCTGGCCTTCAGAGATGTCCTGATCCCATCCTCCTGAATTTGGGGAACAGAAAGATATCTCTCTTGCCTGGGGGAGCCAGACTTCCAAGGGCCTGAAAACCATGTGGAGGAAGGAACAGGGCTCTCACATGGTGCTAAAGGGGGGCCAGGGAAAGTGGGGGACAGTGATGTGATGGGTGGGCAATGTAAATGTGGGGGGTAGTTTATCTGCATGACTCTGAGCTGCCTTCCCCCTCAGAGGTGGAGCAGCCCCACCACAAGAAGGAGTGCTACCTTAACTTCGATGACACGGTGTTCTGTGACAGCGTACTGGCCACCAACGTCACCCAGCAGGAGTGTTGTTGCTCACTGGGGGCCGGATGGGGAGACCACTGTGAAATCTATCCCTGTCCAGTCTACAGCTCAGGTCAGGAGCCGGCAGGCCCCTTTCCAGAACCTTAGTTTGTGCATCAGGAAACCAAATGGGGAAAATGGCTCCCTGCTGGATAGTTGGGAAATGTGGTGCTGGCTCTGGCCAGCAGACTCATACTCAGTCCTCCTTCCTTCCCTCCCTGCAGCTGAGTTCCACAGCCTTTGCCCCGACGGAAAGGGCTACACGCAGGACAACAACATTGTCAACTATGGCATCCCAGCCCATCGTGGTAAGCCCCAGCGCGGCTTCTTCCACCAGATCGGCCCCGCCGCCTGGCCCCCAGGCTTGGCTCCCAGGTGCTGGCTTGGCGGAGGGGTAGGCGGCGCCAGATCGGCTCTGCGCACACATCAGGCTCGCCCCCACCCCTGTACTCCTGGTCCTTCACTCTGGAATGGTTGGAGGGAAAAACTTCTCCCGCGGGGTTTGGCTTTCCTCCCTGCGTGAGCCCCGCCCACCCCTGCCGCCTGCCTGCGGGGCCGAACAGCTTAGAGGTATAGGCGGCTGGGCGCCCATGGTTGGTCACCCGCAGACATCGACGAGTGCGTGTTGTTCGGGGCGGAGATCTGCAAGGAGGGCAAGTGTGTGAACACACAGCCTGGCTACGAGTGCTACTGCAAGCAGGGCTTCTACTACGACGGGAACCTGCTGGAGTGCGTTGGTGAGCCAGCTCGCCGCGGCGGCTCGGGGGAAGCGGCCGGGAGGCCCGCAAACCTCCCGCCTGCAGGTCTGCCCCTGGCATGGGCACTTTTTCTCCCTGTAGATGTAGACGAATGCCTGGATGAGTCCAACTGCCGGAACGGAGTGTGTGAGAACACGCGTGGCGGCTACCGCTGCGCCTGCACGCCCCCGGCGGAGTACAGCCCCGCGCAGCGCCAGTGTCTGAACCCCGAAGAGATGGGTGAGGCCCGGGCCGGTCAGCTGGGGAGAGGGAGGGGGCGGGGCCCAGGCCGAACTGTGACTGCCACCCCCACCCATCCCCTCGCTGCCTGTAGACGTGGACGAGTGCCAGGACCCGGCAGCCTGCCGCCCTGGCCGCTGCGTCAACCTACCGGGCTCCTACCGCTGCGAGTGTCGCCCGCCCTGGGTGCCCGGGCCCACCGGCCGCGACTGCCAGCTCCCCGAGAGCCCGGCCGGTGAGGGCGATGGGCCGACTCCAGGGCCCTGTTCATAGGGTGGAGCCCCAGGGCCTCCACACCGGCTTGGGTGGGGTGGAACCGAGGACGGTCCCTGCCTCTGGTTCCTCGATGACGGCCGGTTCCCTTCGCAGAGCGTTCCCCGGAGCGGCGCGACGTGTGCTGGGGCCAGCGCGGAGAGGACGGCATGTGTGCGGGCCCTTTGGCCGGGCCTGCCCTCACTTTCGATGACTGCTGCTGTCGCCAGGGCCGCGGCTGGGGCGCCCAGTGCCGCCCGTGCCCGCCGCGAAGCGCCGGTGAGCTGATGAGGGGAACTCTGAGGGCGGTAACTGGGGTACACCGACGACGTCGCTCACCTCACCCCACACTCCCAGGGTCCCAATGTCCGACATCGCAGAGTGAGAGCAATTCCTTCTGGGACACGAGTCCCCTGCTGTTGGGGAAGCCATCGCGAGGTGAGTAAGGCCTAGAGGGACGAGGCCGGGTCAGCACCATCGGCAGGGGGCGATGTTGACATCGGAAATTCCACTGGTCCTCACAGACGAGGACAGCTCGGAGGAGGACTCCGATGAGTGTCGCTGTGTGAGCGGCCGCTGCGTACTGCGGCCAGGCGGCGCGGTGTGCGAGTGTCCCGGTGGCTTCCAGCTGGACGCCTCGCGCGCGCGCTGCGTTGGTGAGCTGGACAGCGGGCCCGGGGGCGGGGCGGCGGAGGGGCGGAGCGGTGCCCAGCCGGAACTGGAAGCTAAGCGAAGTCCGCACTTGTCAACCACCTGCAGACATCGATGAGTGCCGAGAGCTGAACCAGCGCGGACTTCTATGCAAGAGCGAGCGCTGCGTGAACACGAACGGCTCCTTTCGCTGCGTCTGCAAAGCCGGCTTCGCGCGCAGCCGCCAGCACGGGGCCTGTGTGCCCCAGCGCCGCCGTTGACACAACCCATGGCCTGCATCTCACGCTGACGGGTTTTCATTGACATTGGGGGTGAGCTCGGTCTCTTATTCCTGCCTCAACTAGGGACAGGGACCCAGGAACCCTCTGGGGCCCACAGACCCCTTTCTGCACCCCTAGACCCAAGGGTGCCCATTGTGGCCCGGTCAGGTTCACTGCAGATACCAGTCTGCAGGGTGCTGTCGGTCTTGCTCCCTGAGGATGATTCCTAGACGCTGATAAATCAGATCATGCCTCTTCAGTTTACTCGCGGCTTTGAAAGCAAATTGATGTTCACATCTACTGCTGGTGGGGACTGCACAAAGCAGCACCAGATCCCAGCCACCCAGAGGGGCTAGCTGAGCTCGGGACAGGGGTGTGAAATAGAATTTATTGTGGCTCTGATTATGTACACATGAGATGTGCCTGGCCAGGCCAGCCGGGCTCACATGGTTTGTACAATAAATACATCCGCGGGGCCTGCTCTCCGTGGCTGGGAGGGCTACCCCAGAAGTTCAGTCCAGCTTTCGTGCTCCCAGCTTCATGGGGCCCTTGGCTGCCTTCTTCTCTGCGCGTTTGGCCTCCATCTCCCTCCGCCGGTCCTCACGCTTTTTCCGTGCCAGCTCGGCCTTGACCTGCCCTGGAGTCAGGAAGGGGAGGCAGGCTGAGGGCTGACCTGCCCTGCCCTGAACCCTAGTCTGTCAGCCCTCCAGGGTAAGGACTTACGGCTCTCAGTCTCCAGGCCCTCCCAGTTGTCCTCACCCCATGAGTCCGATTCTGGCCTGGGCTGAAAAGGGAAGTGCGGGCTGCTGTGGGGGCCAACTCCTGGCTGAGTTCCACCCCGGTCTGCACCCTCAACAGACCCATACCTGGGTGCTAGAACGCACAGACAGGGCAGCAAAGGGGTCACCCTTGTCGTTGGACTCTGGGCCACCCCAGTTATACTCGCTGGCCAATCTTGTGCCTTCAGGGGGTGGCTCTGGGGAGCTGGGTTCCTGCCAGCCCTGCTCCCAGGAGCCTTCAGCTTCCCAGTTGCTCCAGTCTGACTCAGGAGATTTGTGTTCTGGGGGGCTGACCTGCAGAAGGGTGGGAAGAAGAGGTTGGGCCTGCCCAGAGGCAGGAGCCAGATCCTGCCCCACAGACACACACTGCCTAACCCAGCTCACCTGTCCAGCTATGCTTGCTTGGCCCCTGGTACTCCAGTCATCCTGCTGGGCCAACACAGACTCAGCCTCCTGCTGCAGTATGGGAAGGAGAGGGGCATACCAATGACACACCCAGCCCTCCAAAGGGCAAGTAAGCGGGCCCAGGCCTGTCCTAGACATGAGCTTGGTCCTTTGGTCTTTTACCTTCCTTCATTTCCTTCCCTGTCAGCCAGATGGGAAAACTGGCCAGAGCTCTGATACAATTCACTCAGAGCAGCACCACTCCCTCCCCCGCCCATCCTCAGCCACCCCTGCAGCATGCCTGGTCTGGTTTTAGAGGAGGGTATATGGGGGACTATCCTTACTCACCCCGGGCTGAGTGGGCACTGGAGTAAACAGTGGGCACACAGGAGAGTAAGAAGTCCAGCAGGCAGCCTAACCACTGCCTGCCCTGCCTCTCATCTGACCCTGCTCCTGGAGACCCCAGGGATTGGGGAGGAGATCAGCTGCTGTCTCTGACCTACAGTGGCCAACTCCATGAGGTCTACCTGTCAGGACTGCTGTGCAGATAATACAGGCTCAACTCTAGCCAGGCCCCATATGTCTGGATTGGCAGTCTGCGGCTCTCTGGGGGTCCCCTGAGAGCCTCCTCAGCCCCACTAACCTCCAAGCTTCCCCAGTCCTCATCATCCCATCTGTCAGCAGTACTGCTATCCTCTGTTGTGTCCTTGTCCTCCTGTGTCTCCCAGCGGTCTGAGGTTGTAGAGGTGGCAGAGAGAGGTGTGGGGGCTGGGGCAGGATGTCCTAGAGAACAGAGGCCCCGGGGCTCTCAGAGAGGTCTTGGGAGAGGACAGAGGTTGCTGAGAGGAAAGGGATACACGGAAGGAAGGGGCACCAAGGAAATCCACAAGGAGACTAGACCCCATTCCATCCCCTATGTCCCCATCACCCTCCTGGGGGAGCCAGATAATAGCTGGGACACTCACCCTCAGGCATTGGTCTCTGGGGCACATTGGTCTCAGCCTGTGTAGCCATGGGGTGTGCACGGATCAATTTAGAGGTAAGTGAGGAGACTCCAGTCACAGCCCAGCCTGCCCAGCTGGCTGCAGCTCCTCCCATCCCAGGGCTGGAAGCTGCATGGACATCCTTCTCTGGGCAAAAAGAGAAACAGATATGGGCACCTCAGGCTCCACAGGGAGGTGATAGAAAGGCAAGTACCCTAACAATGACTTGTAACCGTCCCCTCCCTATTATAGGCGGAGGTCTTCCCATCTGTGAAATGGATGCTCCAGTGGAGGTGGGACATGCCAGATGACAGGCAAGGACATGGAAGTGGGGGAAGAGGGAACACAAGCATGGCCACTCACCTACTTCTGCCAACTGGGTGGGATCCTCAGACACAGACTCCAATTTGGACAGGAAGCTTCGAATGGCCTTGAAGGCCTGTGGGATAGCAAGGGGCCAAGCTGGGGGCTCCAGGGTTCCTGAGAGCCTACCAGGCTGGCTAGGGCTCAGATATAACCCAGAGTCCCAGCTCCAGGGCCCAGCCCCAGCTATGCCTCACCTGGTCCCGCACAGATTTTTCAGGGTCCACAGTGAGGCCACACAGTACAGGCAGGATCTTGTGGGCACAGTCGTTCATTGAGTAGAAGTTGTGGGTGGCAGCAAAGCCCAAAACACCCGCAACCCGGGATGGTGCAAATGGGTCCTTAGTGGCCCGGCTGAAGGCAGAGGTGAGGACTCTGTGTCTGGTCTGGAGTAGGGCAGGGGAGAGAACTCCTAAGTATAGAGTCAAAAGTGGGACCCGGAACCTCCAGATGAGGGGCCAACCATGGGACCTCCAGGGTCTAAAAATGTGTATTTATCAAAAATAGCTTAAAAGGCACAAATTTACCTAAAACTCTGGATCTGGGTTTCTCCTCCTAGAACCCTGGACTCCTTTCTGCCTCAGGGGAACGAGGGCCAGAAAAACAGCCACCCTGAGGCTAGAGCACGTGCCTCCCTTCTTCCCTGCCCTGCTGATCCCACTCATTCATTCCTGTTACTGTCTGGGCACAGCAGGTGTCACATTTTAAAACTTGGGGGATGCACACAGGTTTGGGGCTAAGCCAACCTGGATTCAGATCCCAGATTCACACCTATGCACTGTGTGACCTGGCACAACTCACTCCACCTTTAGGAGTCAAGACACTGAGGCTAGCAGGGCTCTCTGGGAGCCTTCATGTGGGAGACGATGAATGACCACACACACAAGGTTCCTGGCTCGAGAGGAGGCCATGGTCCTATGGCAGCTGTAGGACACTCACACTGGCACTGAGGTAGGAGCCAATTTTTCCCAGGCAGACTGTGGTGTTGCAGCGGATTGGGCCCTGTTCATCCTTGGCCTGCAGCCGGGCAAAGTGCTTCATGAGCTCCACATTGAGGTTGGCTTCATTTAGCTTTGGGGCCAGGAGCAGCATGGACTGTGGGGTGAAGGCAACAGTAGGTATTGTGGGCCAGGACAGGAATGGTCTCCTGGGCCACTGGTGGTCCCTGGCTCTTAGCAGACCTGCCAAAGCCCACTCGGCCTGCTCCTGTCCCACCCACTATGTTGAGAAAGGGGAGCTCCCCCTTTCCTGTCCCCTATACATTAAGATCTCAAAAGTCTTGTACTCCTGTCTCCCATCTCTCTCCTGCCTGCAGTACACTCAGGCTCTCACAGGAACATTCCCCACAGTGTACCAAACTGGCTTAGGCTGAGGTCACCAATGAACTCCAAGTCACTAAATTCAATAGTCAATTCTGTCCTCATCAAACTTGATCCCTTAGCAGTTTTGATAACCCTACCACCACCACCAAATTCTCCCTCTGCTTTGAAATTTTTGTTTCTGGTCTACCAGGAAAGGAGTCCTGGTCCTCCCCCCAGCCTCACTGGCTGCTCCTTTTGCTGAGATCTTAATCTTTAGACACCCCAAAACAAATCCTTTGGCCTTTTTTTTAATATTTAACACTGGGCCCTGTAATCTCACCTACTTCATGGCTTTAAATGTCTCTCTGTTAGCTGATAGCTCCCAAGTGTGCACCACTTGCCAAAACTTCTTGCCTCAACTTCACAGCCAGCTCAACAGCTCTACCTGACCATCGAGCAGAGTTGGCCAAGCCAGGGCCCAACCGCCTTCTACAAACCTGCTCCTCACTCAGACCACAGCACTGCTCTGTTCTACCCACCACCGCATACCTTGCAGGTGGGCTTTGCTGGTCTCATTCCCAATGAATACAGCAGGTTTCCACCATACCAACAAGGCCTGGGCACCCACCCAACATTATCCTCTGACTTCGCCTCCTTCAGCCATCTCCTTTCAGCCATGCTAAACCGCTTACTTCTACTTCCTACTTCTATAGTCCAGGCAGCTTCCAGACTCCAGGCCTTTGCACCTGCCGTTACTTTTGCAGGAGACACATTTCTTCCCCATCTCCTCCTGGGTTGAATCCTTCACCTCCTTACTTTCAAGGGATACCTCCTAAGCAAGGTAGTCCCTTTTTAAAAACTGTAGACCCTCCTCTCCCCACTCTTTTCTGATGTGATATATATTTTCTAATTCTATTTCTTGTCTGCCAGGCCCATTGTCTGTACCCCTCAAGGGAAAGGGGCTTGGGCTGCCTTGTGCAAACTGCGTACTAGCCCAGGGCACAGGATGGGCACAAAGAAATGTTCAGTGAGGTCTGCTGAAAGGACTGTAGGTCACACCTGCCACATACCACCACTGGCTGCAGGACAGCCTCCATAGCCTGGACCAAGCACAGAGCACATGGTAGTACCTGCCCCACCTATAATCCGCTTAGACTTGCAAGCAGAAGCCATGGCCTCTGTGTCCTGTAAACAACCCCCTCCATGCCCTGGAAAACTGGAGGTGGTTACTCTTTGCCTGGCCATACCTACCTTGACTGTCTGCTCCCGGATGGCAGGGTTGGTATCCAGAAAGCCATGTACAACATGGGGAAAGATCTGGGTGTTGACTGTCGGCTCATCAAGGTATTGGATAAACTGCTCCATCTGTAGCCCAGGAGGGTGGGGGGTAGTGTGTGTGGGGGAGAACACAGCCAGCCCTCTCTCACCCCATACAGGTTTGGAGCCACTCTGGTTTCCCACTATCCACCCCTGGCCAGCCAGGTTAGCTTATTAAGCCCCATGCCTGTGTTTGACCTCAAGAGGCTTGATGCAGAGAGGGATTGGGACCTGAGAGCCAAGAGTTCTTCCTGGCTCACAAGAGTCCCCTATCCTAGGCCCCATCAGTCCTATGTAATGTTCCCAGTTGCCCTGGGTTGGCAGGAGATGTATCTCCACTCATCCCAGGGTGACCACATCAGAAGATGGGGTGGCACCTGAGCCCTGTAGCCTGGGCACTCCTGAGATTGCCAAGGAGCCCTGTGATCCACCTCATGACAGCCTGGCCTCCCTACTCCCTCATCTCTGGAATGTTCAGGGGAGGGTTTTCTGGGGTCCCTTTGCAGCCAGGAAAGGGGCTCCAGCCACCTGCTTGGAGCAGGAGGTAAGGAAGGTGTCTCTCCAACAACCAGGGTGGGTCTGGGTGGGTAGACCAGGGCAGGGCCTGGCCAAGGCCCCTACCTGCTGCAGGAGGCGGATGCGCATGGCGCGGTCGGTGGATGAGAACATCTTGACCACCACAGGAATGATCTTCTGCTGATACTCCTCAGCACTGAGGAACTTGCCCACCTGAGGATAGGAGGGAACAAGTGTTTAGCCACAACCCCAGGGCTGGATGACTTCACAGGGCTCACTTGACTTACTCGGGCTCCCTACTGGTTTTCCAGGGTAGGAAGGAGGTGACACCAGAGTAGAGGCATCAGGCATTTCCCTAGCAGCTCCTCTGCCCCTACCCCAGCTCAGTTCTGCCCCTAACCTTTCAGGTTCAAGGCCTCTTTTAGGAAGCTGATGGAAGCTGTGCCCCTCCCTATGAACAGGTGTCTGAATGTCATATGTAAACAGAATTCTGCCTGTGATTTCTGGGGATTCCAACTTTACAGGACTTGATAGCTGGCTTTTCTGCTTCTAGCAAGTTCCTTCAGGGGAAAAGGATGTCCTGGGGATGGGGCAGGTAAGGGAAAGGCAGGTGACCCTGAAAGGTGGGGTGGGGTCTCAGGAAGCAGGAGGAATCCAGCCCCAGAAGTCACCTAAGTAGTTAGGAAAGAGGAGAGGAAAATGGGATGATGGGCAGGTAGTCCCCAGAGCCCTGGGAAAATGGTTGCACAGATCAGGCTAGGAGAGTCTGTCTTAGGAAAGGAGGAAGGGCCAAGCGCCCTGAAGCAAGGATCTGAGGATCAAGAAATGTGGAGGCACAGGTTCTTTGCTCTCAAAGGGCAAGAAGTCCCCACAGTCTCCCTGTAGCTGCTCAGGAGGTCCTGGCTTGCTGAACCACCAGGACGCTGGCAGAAAGCCACCTCATATGGGTCTTCCCTGACCAGGCTGCCTGCCCCAGGATGCCCCATAGGGCTGTTTCCAGTCCAGGATCATCTCTTTGGCAGTTTGGATATACCCTGCCAGCTCTCTGGATCCCACAGGTCTTGAGGCTCCAGGCTTTCCAGGTCTCCCCTCAATTACCTTGAAGAGGGGTGTGAGGACCACAGCCCCAGCGTTGCCAAACTCGAAGGCAGTCAGCAGCTGAGGCAGCACCTTGTGCCGACAGAAATCCTCAGGGAATGAGTCCAGGCTCTTGCTCAACTCTTGGAAGAATTTTTGCTTCTCGGCCGGCTCTTTGATCTAGGGGAACAAGGACAAGGCACAGGGAGGAAGCCAGCCTGGTCACACACATTGCCCAGTCACAAGTGAGGACAGGAAGTCACCCCCAGGTCTGAAGGGACAAAAATAAAGCTGTGGGCTCTAGAGCCCAACTGCCTAGGCTCAAAGGCCAGCTTTCCTGCTTACTTGCCATGTGGTTTAGGCAAGTTCCTCCATCTGTAAAATGAGTTAATAACTCTATCACCGCATAGGGTTGTTCTGAAGATTCAACTGGAAAGTGCACATAAAAGCTGTCAGCACAATGCCTGGCACACAGCAGGGCCTCCAATGACTGTCCTTATCTTGGCCACCTAACTTGCGGCTGCTAGAAGAGCAGCCACTAGGGGCATCATACCCTCGGTCAGCAGCAGTGACTGCTCACAACAGCCTAGATGGGAAAACACTTTGGGAAGGGCCATGTGAGGAGAATTCCACCTAACACAGTGCCTGCTGCCCTCACCCGCCCCCACTTCCCCACCCCGGCCCAGAGGCAGCAGGGCTCAGCATTTCCAGTGGCTTCTTCAAGATGCAGTTCAGTTCCCCATCCTCCAACAGCCCTCCCTGTCCCCACCTAAGCCAACATTCTCCACTCCGTTCCTTGGAAGTCTGTGGAAGTGTCTGTCGCCCTCCTCCCCTGTCCTGATTCTCAGCCACCTCTCTGTGTTCACCACACATGACTGGGCCAGAGCAGGTGCAGAGAGCAGACCTCCCTCCTTCATTCCGTGTGACTCTCCCTTTACACAGGTACCAACGGTGAGGTTCAGAGGTGAAGCACAGGGTGCCCTCCTCACATCTTCCCATGAGCTGGTCCCTCTGTCTGGAACACTTCCCCCAGTTACCATCCCTATGGCTCCCATGTTCCTGTCCTTCAGGTCCTATTTCAAATGTCATTCCTAAGAGAGCTCTTCCCTGAGCACCCCATCCCCTCTATTTTCCTGCTGGCAAAGAGAACTGCCTAAAACAGGGACATGGCCTATTAACCCCTTGCTCGCTCCTTGAGGGCAGGTCTAGATCTGTCTTTCCCTCCCCACCCCACTCCAAGCCAGCATGGGGCATGGCACCCTGGGGACCAGAGTCAGGAAGTATTGTAGAGTTGCTGGAGCAACAAGAACACTCACTAAGGATCTGCTGTGTCCAACATGCACAGCGGCCCTCTATGTTCCACAGTGGTGCATTCAACCAACCATTGATAACAGACATTAAAAATTAATGTGTTCATATTGACATGTAGATTTATTTTTGTCATTGTTCTCTAAATGATACTGTATAATAACTATTTTCATAGCACTTTCATTTTATTAGGTGTTATATGCCATCAAGAGATGATTTTTAAGAATGTGAGAGGATGTAAATAAATCATGTGTGTAAATACTATGCTGCTTTATATAAGGGACTTGAGTATTCTTGGATTTTGGTGTCCTTGGGAGTCCTAGAACCATGGATATCATGGACATCAAAGACGACTAGGCTGTGTACTCCCCATGCTCCTGTGAAGTAGGCACTATTACTAGAGCTAAACTTCAACAAGGGGAAGCCAAAGCAAGGAAGAGTTGGAGCCAGAGTTGCATCCAAAGGACCTATTTGTATAGTCCATGCCTGTCTTCAAAGGGTTCAGTTGTGAGAGAACCTAAAAGTGGGGTATAGGGCAATTATGGGAAATGTAGGGCCAAAGCCTAGGCAGGTGGGGGGCTTACCTGAATCTCTTCCAAGAAGAGGTTGGTCTCCACAAAACGGTTGTTCATGAAACCACCAGGTGCCTGGCAGTTCTGCAGAAAGCGGGCTGGGTTGGGACGCACCTTAGGGTTGGCTCCCACCAGTTCGCAGTAATGGGGCACCAGGGATTTGGGGATCTGTAGGATAAGACTCAGTGTCAAAGAAGGGGTGGTTGGTGAAAGAGCAGAGAAAGAGCAGCTGGGGCAAGGCAGAGAGCCAGGGGCTGGATACTTACCTTCCCAGGATTGCGAAGGGCAGCCGCCCGAGGTAGGGGCCCATTGAAGACTTCCCAGATGAGGCAGCCCAAGCGCCACATGTCTGCTGACCTGTAGCAGTAATCCAGAGCTGCTCAGAGCCCTACCACCCATTAAGGCAAAACTCATCCTGCCATGGCAGGTCCTGGCTGTGTCCCTCAGGTGACCCATCAGCCTTAAGCAGCTGGTTTCACTATCCCCATTTAACATATAAAAAAAAACCAAGGTTCAGAGAGGCAAGGACATCTGTCCTGGGTCACACAATTTTCAAATTCAGAACCACCCAATGTCCAAGCTTGTGTCCAACCTGCCCTACTACTATGGAGCCTCTGGTAGCAGTCCTGGGACCCTGATACTCTCCCAACCAAGCAACAAGGGACAGGGGAGTGCCAGCTAGTCTAGAGATCCTGAGGCTACAGGAGCCTTCACAACAGGACAGACTGAGGTATGCCGCCCCCAGTCACCCACCACTTCTCTCTGACCGCTCTGCCGCTGTTGTCAGTCAATTCCGGGGGGTCATACTGCTCAAGTTCAGGGATCCCCTTGCGGGGTGGTCCCCCACCATTGCCCTGGGCTGAGTACATGTAATCCAGGCCCCCAAGTTTCCACTCGCCAGCTCGGTCCACAAACACAGCAGCCATACAGACGTTATTGTGGATAAGATTGCAGTCGTTGACCAAGAAGCTGAGGGCTTTCACTATCTGGTGTAGCCCCCAGGACAACTCCTGCTCCTTCAGGCCACCAGCATCCACTCGAGCCTTGAGGTACATTCCCAGTGGGGTCACAGCCTCTGTCACTACATGGAGGCACTTTTCTGTCTAGGGAAGGAGAGAGGGATGTCAGGGATGAGTTAGGGAGAAGAAGGGGAGATGAGGAACAGAGACAGTAGAGAAGCTCTAACTCTGGGGGTGCTGAAATCCAAGGGGTAGAAACCAAGGGACAGAGTGAAGACAGCAGTGGGAGACTGGGAAATGGTGAGAACAGAGATAAACAAACGCAGTGCAGGTACCTCCAGCCCATCGATATAGGCCAGGATGTTGGGGTGCCGGAGAGTTTTGAGGCGCTTGAAGGCAGCTTTGGCCACCTGGGTCTGCTCTTCGGCGCCAGGCTTCACGTCGTACACGAATATGGACACCAGGCTGCCTGTGGCCTGGAGGACAGAGAGGCCAGGGGGTGGGGGCCAGGCTGACCACTCGGCTGGGCCTGGGTCTCACCATTTCGTAGATGGTCCCCGGAGCAGAAGAAAAGAGACGCAGGCCAGGTCTCTCCCCTGGTCAGCCCTTAGGGACTCGGCCGGGCTCACGTGACCCCTACCCCGTCTGCCTGTCGGTCCCTCGGTCCTTCCGCCCGCCACGTCGGCACTGCCCGAGCCCTCCCGGCCCGGCCCGTTGCCCCGAGCCTCCGCCTCCACGTCAGACGCGGCGCGACGCAGAGGAACCGGCGGTGCGCAGTAGACGAGGCCGAGGTCTGCCGCGGCCTGCAGAGCCGGGCCGCACTCACCTTTTTGCGGCCGCGGTGCAGGACCCAGGGTCCGGGCGGGCTGCCTTCAGGAGCCTCCGGGCTGAGCTCAAACGGAAAGTCCCGGACCGGGTCCCGGGCAAAGAACCACATCGTCCCCGCCGCCGCCTCCGCCGCCGCCGCGGGCTCGGGCGCCTCCGCTCCGGGTCCTCCGGCCGCCCGAGCCGGGGCGGGGCGGGGCGGGGGCGGGGCCTGGCCGGGCCGGGGGCGGGGCCGGAGACTGGGAGGGCGGGGCGGGGCGGGGCCGGCAGCGCCAGAACCAACCCTCCGCTTCCGCGGCGGGGTCAGCCCCTCCAGATCGCCTGAACTGCTCGGACTTCTGCGTCCTTAAAGGCAAAAGGGGCGTGGAAAGAGAGCCCACCTCCTAGCGTTATTGTAAGGATGAGAGCTTGAGAAGAAACAGATGAGAAAACCGAGGCGATGAAGAGGAGAGACGAGACAAACCGTGAAGGAAGGCGACTGCCAGCAGAGAAGGGGTGGTAGTGAGTAGTGAAGTAGATGATTGTCCCCAGGGTCTGAAGTGCTGGAGCTAGTGAGGTCCAGGTCCCAGCAAGGAGCCCATGGAATGAGAAGTGACCAGGAGAGAGGCCCGAGGAGACAGAGCCCTTAAGGAGTGGGGGCCCGGGGGAGAGCACAGAGTGAGGCAAATGTCCAGGTGAGGTCCATGAGCCCTGGAGTAGCTGGAGGGTACCAGGGGAAGGAAAGAAGGAGACACTGAGGAGGGAAGAAGAGTTGACCCCAGGAAAGGAGAGGGTGGAGGAGGAACAGCTGGGCAAGTCCAGAAGAGGCCAGAGGGCAGAGAGGAGCCCTGCTTTCCTGGGCCCAGCAGCCCGCGGTTCCTTGGTTCATAGAACCAGCCTCTTCTTCAGGTCCCCAGTGCCTGTGCTGTCATTAGTTCAATCTGCCCACCACACTAATGGGGACTTAGTCCCTTAGCTGGAAAGAACCCTGTGTCCAGGAGGGGCTGGAAAGGACAGGCAATGACTCCTCTGCAGGTTGGGTCTCAAGGGATGGAGTCTTGTCCCTTAGCCAACTCCTATGAAGTACAGGTGAGATTCTGGAACCAATTGGAAATGTTTGATTAGGATGTCTTTGGGAGAACTCTCAAGGGCAGTGGTGCCATACTCAAGCAGAGCTGGATTGGAATCCTGGCTTAGCCTTTCACTGGCTGTGGGAACTCACACAGAAACAGTACCCTCTGGTGGTCTCAGTTCCCTCTTCTATAAACTGTGATGAACAGTGCCCTTCACCACATCTGACCCAGAACAGCCTCCCAATAACACTCACTTTCTACGTTTCCTTGTCCCCGTATTGGTGTGGGAATCACACCAAGTGGGGATCAGACACAATGTCCACTGCTCAGGACAGACTAGAAGTCGTGTCTAGAGACCTTCCCTCATGACTTTGATAGGCAGAAGACCTTGACAACATTGCGACTATGAAGTGGGCAGTATAGAGGGTGGAGAGCATCCTGCCATTGAAAAGAGGCAAGTAGAGATCTCAAACATTGAAATACAGCCTCTAGGGCTGGGGTGGTGGCTCAGTGGTAGAGCACTTGCCTTCCATGTGTGGGGCACTGGGTTCAATCCTCAGCACCACATAAATGAATAAAATAAAGATATTGTGTGTACATCTAAAAAAAATTTAAATATTAAAAATAAAAAAGTTTAGGGCTAGGGATATAGCTCAGTTGGTAGAGTGCTTGCTTCGCATGCACAAGGCCCTGGGTTCAATCCCCAGCATCACAAAAAAGAAAAAAGAAAAAGAAAGAAAGAAATACAGCATCTAGAAGGTTGCCTTGATGAAGAGTGAGCCACAGCCTGAGCTGTGTTCTGAGCACAGAATGATGGAGAAGGGGAGGCTGGGAAGGGTGATGCTTTGGGGTGCTGGTCATAGTTGGAGGGGAAGCACCTACATAAGGTTTGTGTGGTGGTGTTTGGTTAGTGGCACATTTCCTAAGCATAGGGCCTCACCTAGAGGGGAAACAAGGGTAGGAAGGGCAGGACCACTGGGGGAGATCTAGACATCCTTAGCAGGAAATCTGGGGCCAAGTTTAGTACAGGACTGGTCAGGGGATGGCAGGAGATAAATAATCTGCCAAGGGAACTGCCTGCCCGATTCCCTGTTAATAACCCCACTTTTGCAGTGGAATGTGGTGCAGAAAGCCTTTCCTCAGGAGGGGTACAGCAACTATTCCCAACTTCTCACCTTATGCCTGCCCTGGGCGCACACTGTGATCATCCATTTCATCCCCTGTAAAATGGGAATAGTAGCCACTGATCCCTGCCTGGGATTAGTGTTGTACTCATCTTGCACATGAGGAAACAGGTTGAGAAAGATCACACAGCAGAAAGCAGCGGGGCCTGAGCCCTGTGCCGCTCATGGCTCCTTCAGCAGCCAAGACAAATCTCAGCCGTCTTCCAACCCACTCACCTGTGGACATCCTGCAGGCATGGGGTCTGCAGGGACACCAGGAAACCAGCTGCTCTAGAGGCGATACGTTCAGAGCCAAGTGGGCAGAATCGGGAGGCAGATGCCTCAGTGTGAATCACATTTCTGTGAGCGAGTTGTTTTGCCTCCTTTCTTTTGTCTGAAAAGTAAGATAATAAAAATGACTGACTACAAGCCGAGTGCAGTGGCCACACTGGTAATTCAGCTATTAAGGAGGCTGAGGCAGGAGGATCTCAAGTTCAAGGCCAGCCTGGACAATTTAGCAAGACCCTGTCTCAAAACAAAACAAAAAAGAGACGCTGGGGCTGGGGCTGGGGCTCAGTGGCAGAGCACTTGCCATGCTACAGTGAGGCACTAGGTTCGATCCTCAGCATCACATAAAAATAAACAAATAAAATAAAGGCATTCTGTCTATCTACAACTACCAAAGAAAAAGAA